CAACGCTGCGACCCGCCCTGGCTCCGTTGGACCTCGTCGCTGTCGCTCTTCCAGACCAAAACCAAGACCCCTCATTTCTTACTCATTCCCCGACCATTTTGCTTTGTTTAGTTTCTCTTGCCTCATCACACCCCTCTACACCTGTCTAGCTGCCTCTCTTTGCTCCGCTTTGACTCGCATTTGTTCTATCGCAATTTTTGACCCCCTCTCCCTCTCACTCACTTCTGACTTGCCGTTCCGACCTGCCTGTCCACTCCAATGATTTCCACCCATCAGTAGCATACACTCCCCCACTGTTTTATGCTGTGGCAGCCAGGCTTCGCTGGTCATCACCGGCTTAGACGCGAAACGACTTGAAACATGAATATATTTCTCTCTCTCTCACACGCAGGTCCTCCTCAGCTGGTTGCCAGGCCATGTAGGCATTGCAGGGAATGAAGTGGCCAGCTTGATGTCAAAGGAGGCCGTGCGGGTATGCGAGTCAGTAGAGCGCGAGCAGGAGCAGCAGACGGAGCATAAGATGCGCCCCAAGGGTCATCTGGTGTTTGTGCCAGAAATGGCAGAGTTGTTGAGTGGGTTGGAGGACGGGGAGCAGGTTGGAGAGGGAGAGCCAGTGGGAGGAGGGCAAGCGAGGAGGCCGCTGACCCGCCACCTTGTCAAGTTGACCCGCCCCACACAGCTCAGCAATGATAACTGGCCCGGACTTGGCTTGGAGGCTCCGCTACCTGCCAGCCTGTCTGCGCTATGGACAGCACGCAAGCAGGCAACACGCGTGTGGTGGGATGAGGGATGGCCGCCAGCTTTTTGCCGCCTTGCAGCTCGCCTCTTAGTTGTCCAGGTACTACGACGGGCTCAGCAGGTGCCAAGCAATGCTGCTCTGCCAAACCGGCGCATGTGCTCTGAACACCTATCGCACCTGCTTTGACCCGGCTCAAACGGACCTCTGCAAGTGCGGCAAGCAGGAGATGCGGGAACATCTCCTGCTTGTCTGCCCACTCTGTGTGCATGCCCAGCATTTGCCTATCTATGACTTACAACTCTGCAAACTCCCCACTGCCGGCCAGGGCCTCAGCAACCCCACCTACTGCGATGCCTTCCTCAAGTCTGACCGCACGGGTCGTTCCCCACAACTCTCGAGGTTGCCAGAGGCGGAGAAGAAGGATAAGGAGTAATGTCTGGGAGGGGACATGAAGAGAGAGCGCAGCGGACGCGTCAGCATTGCCCTCTACCTCCTCCATCCCCTTATGGGGCCTCCCTCCCGCAAAAACACATCAACCCGTGTCCAACCTGCGCATCACCTCTCCAACACTCTAATGGACCCCACAACCACAACTCAACCTCAGTACTTCACCTTGTACAGGCTGTTGACGACTCCCATCGTCACCACCTTGGGACTTTCTCTCGAAGGAGTCGGTGTCGGTACCGCGGACCTTGAATTCGAAACCTCTTCAGGTCACTTCAAGCTTCAGCTCAAGGAGGCCATGCACGTGCAGAAAGCAAGGAAAAGACAAGGGAGTTAGTACTTAGTACGGGTGCAGAAGACGGTGGCGAAGGCAATCACTGGCAGCTTCCGCTCAGCAATGGCAGGAACCACAACACAGCATGTCAGCTTGCATGCATTTTGACCGGTTGACTGCCACGGACCGTCGAAAGGCAGAGACACTTACTTGGCTATCTCAGTCATATTTCTGGCTGAGAACGCATCAGCCGGGGATCTAGCTCATCGGTAGAGCGCTCGCTTAGCATGTTTCCGAACCTGCGAGAGGCGCAGGGTTCGACTCCCTGGTTCTCCACAGCTTTTTGCAACCCCAGCCGTTATCTGCTTTTTGCAACTTGCAACGTCTGCGACATGCGGGCAAGTTGCTCCAAAGTCAGACAGCCGCAGGTTTGAATACCTCGCAGGCAGATTAGCTTAGCGTGGAAATTGGTGCGAAGTCCACGCTGCCCGCTGTCAATCTTGGCTCTTTAGCTCAGTTGGGAGAGCGACAGACTGAAGCTGCTCTACGCAAGCTGCACTTCTGCAGGTCTCCGGTTCAATCCCGGAAAGGGCCACGTAGCTTTTTGCCCCTGAGGGCACAGGCCACGCAGCCGCCGTTTTGCTATAGCAGCTCTGCCTCCCCCGGGCGTTGCCAGCCTTGCGTCGTCTCCTTCTCTTGCCACCAAGTCTGTCCCACCTGTCCACTACTTGGTCTGCCTGCACAACTAGAATGTAGGATGCACAAAAGCAAGAGCAGCGCAGAATGGCAAAAAAAGACATGGCCCTTTCCGGGATTGAACCGGAGACCTGCAGAAGTGCAGCGCAATGGCTTCAGTCTGTCGCTCTCCCAACTGAGCTAAAGAGCCGGCTATGGTTGCGGGCACAGATCAGCCGTCTATATCCTGCGGCGGTTTAGGCCACCCCTTCTCGCGACGCGCCTGACGGAGCGGGCGTAGGGAGCACTGAGCTCGTGCGATAGCATTGCAAACGCCTTCCAAGCACATTGGCAGGGCCAGGCCGACTCGACGCGCACGCGTTCCGGCTTATCGCTCTTCCCTTCGCCCAACACGGATTCTCGCTCTGCCGCCCTTCCCGAAACATGCCGCTGCCTCCGCAGGTCCAGCAGGCGCTCGAGAGCGTCATCGGCTCGATCTACAACCTCCAGACGTCCGCTGGCGGTGGCTACAAGCGCTACTACTCCGCGATCTTTCGCGACCTCCCCGACCGCTACGAGTACCCGGACTACTATGTCGTGATCAAGGAACCGAGATGTCTGCACGGAGTACTCGTACGTCGGTCCCCAATGACGCAGACGCGCTGGCAGCGGGCAGGAGCACCGCTTCATCTTGGCGGGGTCTGGTCGCTCCCTGACCAAGGTCAAGGCATGGACGCTGACCTCATTGTGACGAACACAACAGGAGACCATGCGCCGAGGAGCGTACACTAGCGCCCAGGCTGTCGCCTTCGATCTCTTCCTCATCTGGTCGAATGCGCGCGAGTACAACGAGCAGGGCAGCCTCGTGTACGCCGATGCGGACAAGCTCGAGGTGTGTCAGAAAGACCACGGCTGGACGGCGAGAGACTAACAAAGGTGCCCACAGGACTACATGGAGCGACTCTGGCGTGAACGATGTCCGCCTCTTCCCCCGTTCGAATCGCTTCCCCACCCCGGCGCCGCTGCTCCGTCTACCGTCGCTCCGACACCAGTAGAGCCCGAGCGCAAGGTTAAGCGGATCAAGCTGACCGGGTCGCTCGGGTCGTCCGCTGCGAGTCCAGGTCCCGCCGCGCACACTCCGACAACGCCAAGCGCGCCGGGCGCGACGAAACCTACGCTTACGATCAAGCTCGGCGGCAATCGTCAGACGGCTGGGGCGGCAGGCGGAATCGGTGCAAGTGGTGCAGGACTTCCGCCGCTCCCGACTCTTCCGACGTTGCCAACACTTCCAGCGCACGGGTCGGAGAGGCTGCAGGCGACAGGAGGGTACGGCTCGTCTCAAGCGGAAGCATCCACAGCGCGGGCTGTCAAGGCGGAGAGCGCTGGGCCCGACGGCGACGAAGCGCCCTCGACCACGCCTGCTGTTCCGACGGTCCCGGATACCGAGTCAGGCTGGATGGGCGGAGACATCGTCCGTCGCGCTTCCGCACTTCCAGGCGCTTCCGTGTGCTGACTGAGTACCGCAGGGTGGAGAGCCGGCGCAGGTGTACCGAGGTATCCTTGCCAAGATTCGAACGTATACCGATGCGAGGTGAGTTGCGGCTTCGTAATCTTCCCTCCGCCTCATTACTGACCTTCGCGCGACGACTTGTGCAGCGGCCGACCACTCGCAACGCCCTTGATTGACATTCCGGACCGAGAAGCTCGCCCAGACTATTACGAGCTCGTGTCGGACCCAGTGTCACTCAACACCATCGAGGTGCGCCAGACTCTGACTCATCGACTCACGCAAAGACTCGGCTGATGCGCAGCTCACAGGCAAAGGTGAATGCCGGCGGTTACTCGACTCCCGAAGCCTTCGACCGCGATTTGCACCACTTGTTCGCCGTCGCCAAGCTCTTCATTCGTCCCGAATCGCCCGGAACGATTTACACCGACTTGATGGTTCTCCAAGTGCGCCTCAGCAACATCCTGGTCACGGACGGTGTCCTAACAGCACTTCCCCTTGGCAGCGTCTGTACCAGGAGCTCACCAAGCGCGTCTCGCCTCTCTCGCGGACCGCCGAGATCAGCGACGCTGCAGCTCTCGCGTCAGTGGGCGGCGGGCCCGGAAATGTTCAGCACGCGCGGGGAGACGAGGGCGCGATCGGCCTGGACTTGAAGAGCCGCGCGACGACTCGGCCAACCACGAAGGACAAGATCTTTCTCGACAGCATCAATTTCAAGGGCGAAGTCCTAAAGACTGGTGCGCAGCGCTCAGCGCACCTCTCTGCGTGAGCGACCGGCATTCGACTGACCCGCCGATCTTGCAGGCGATTGGGTACTTCTCCTCAATCCGGATTCCCCTGGCAAGCCGATCATCGCGCAGATCTGGAAGACGTACAGGCGACAAGAGTGAGTCGCCGGCCTCGCGAGGCGACCCGCGGAGAGACTTACAACCCGTGTTTGCCAGCTCGCCACAACGCTGTCTCTCGGTCTGTTGGTACTATCGAGTGCGTGATTAGTTTCGGCTCGCCACGTCGCAAGCGCAAGGCGCTGAATGTCCCGCTTCTAGCCCGAGGAGACCGTGCATCCCGCCTCACGCACTTTCTACGAGAACGAGGTCTTCAAGACGGGCGTCTTCATGGACCAGTGCGTCTCCTTTGCCATTGTTCGCGCCCGCGTCGGTGCTTACACCTCGTTCGCAACAGCAATGTCGAGGATTTCCTCGACCGCTGCTTCGTCATGTTCTTCACCCGCTACACCCGCGGACGACCGAAACCGCCGGCATGGACCCCTTCGATTCCGCTCTTTGTCTGCGAGCATCGCTACAAGGACGATGTCAAGGCGTTCAAGAAGATCAAGAGCTGGGCGTCGTGCATTCCCGAGGAAATCCGCGTGCACGAGTACGACTTTGAGCCGTTCGAGGACGGACGCGTCGAGCAGCTGACGCGAGTCAAGAGTCCCTTCGTGCGTGGCATGGCTGGCCCGGGGCGTCTTTCCGGTGCGGCCGCATCCGCGCCGGCTTACCATTTCTCGCAAGATGGGAAGCCGCAGACGGCGGAAGAGGCCAAGGCGACGGTGCCCGAAGCTCGCGCGCATCCGGCCTCGTCTCTCGCTCCGACAGTCGCACAGCCGACGGCCGGCTTCGACACCCCCGCGCCCGTCCCTCAGCCTACCTTCCCGTCTCTCGCTGCACAAGCTCCCGTCATACCATCTCTCTCAAGTCTGCCGCCCTCGTCATCCGACTTTGCCGTCGAGCCGGTCGGCGCTCCCTCGCCTGCCAGTACACCAGCCGAGCAAGCAGCGTCGTTGGAGGACTTTGCCCCGCTACCCGCGTCCCTGAGTGCGTCCCCCTCCCGATGTCTCTCTACGTCGATCTGTCCTGACCGCCGTCCATCGCACGCAGAGTCGAAGTTCCGCAGCGACGCGCTCGGCGACGTCCTGTGGTTCTCCGCACCGGCCGCCGTCGTCGCGCCTATCGCCCGCCCCGCTCACTCCCTCGAATACCTCTACTGGCGTGCCCAGCAGCGGCAGCAGCTCGCCTGATACCCGTACATCGCTCGACTACCCTGTTGCCACCCTTGCATTGCGAAGAATAGCTCTCTCTCTCCATCGGTGGCGCGTGCGCCGCATCCCGACAAACGAACGAGAGATGCAGAATCATGTGCAAAGGCGAAGAGCGACAGGGACAACAACATGCGCGGGAAGTGAACAACAAGCGATGAATAAAGGTGCCGGCAAGGAGGCGGACACCAGTCGGCGGGATGAAGCGCGCCGCCTTACTCGGCCGCTGCAAGTCTCTCGGCCTCGCGCCGCTCGAACTCCTGCGCTGCCTGCTTGGCGGCCTTCTTGCGTTTCCTGCGATGGCCAACCACCGTCAGATCGAAGCGAAACTTTCTGCAGACGAAATGGACTCACTTCTTCGCCTCGTAGTCGGCAACACTCTTGAGGACGGCTGGCTGGAGGTGCATGAGCTCGGGAGGGAGCGTCTCGCCGCTCTTGAGGCCGCGTAGGAAGCGCTGGCGGACTTGGTGGTACGCGCGCGTCGGGCAAAGCTTGGCGACGTTGTCCCAGGCGCAACCGCACTGGATGACAGCCTTGAGAAGCATCTCGTCCTCGGCCAGGTTCCACTGCGAGAGCGGCGGAAAGGTGACGAGTCAGTATTGGCGCGAAGAGCGCCAGAACGGTACCGACGAAAGACGCACCTTGATGTACGGGCTCCTCGCCTTCTTGCTATCGTTCTTGTTCTCGCCCGCCGCCGCCCCCTTCCCTCCCGCGCCCTTCTTCTTATTCGACGAGACGACCAGCGGCGGGTGTGCTGACCGTCCCGCACCTTCCGAGCCATCCGCAGCTTCTTGACTCGCGCTCGCCTGGACCAGGACGTCAAGCGCCGAGAGTCGTTGTCCGAGCGCGCGCCCTTTGCCCTTCGAGGAGGAAGACGCTCCTTGCGCGGCCGAAGGAGGCGAAGGCAGGTAGTCTGGGTCGTCGTTCCCGCCCGTAGCGGTCGCGCGCCGGGAAGAAGGACCAGGTGCATAATCGTCGTCGCCGACCCACTCGTCGTCGTCGTGCGCATTCGAAGCGGCGCGGCGGCGCTTGAGCGGACGAGGAGCGCCGCCCGTAACGTCTTCTTGCGAGGAGGCCTCGGCGAGCTGGAGGAGGCCGTCGAAGCCATCGCCTGCCGGGTGACGCGAAGTCGACGGGATAGGCGGCAGAGTGTCCCAACGAACGCTCCCGACCGCGTAGCGCGACGAGACTCCAGCGTATGGCGTGGAGTACAAGTCCTCATCGAACGGCTCGCCCTTCATCTGCTCCTGTCCCTCCTCATCGTCTTCGACTTGGTACTCCGCCGCAACATCCACAATTTCCGACGCCCTCCTTGCGATCGCCGACGAGAGCGGGACGCGATTGATACGCCGGACATGCGAGAAGGTCTTGCCGGCGTGGAGGAGGAGCTCGGCTTCTGCGTCGCCGAGAATCGCAGGGCGAGATTTAGGTGCGTCGAGCTTCGGAAGAGGTTTCTTCGCGGGCACTTTGGGCGTCGGCTGGGCTGCGGCGCTGGTCGAAGCGGCAGCCGGACCTGGAAAGTCGAGCGTGCGAGGGAGGGCAGGCAGAGCCGACTCGGCGACGATGGAGGGGACCTCGGCGGGCGACTCGGCGGCGGAGACGTCGGTCGGAGGGGAGGGCAGGCCGACTTCGTGGTCGACTATGACGAGCGGGGTGCCGTGCAGGAGATGCGAGCGGATACTGCGGAGTTCGTGCTCGAGGCGGTTCGTCTGCGCTTGCGAGATCTTGAGCTGCGCGGAGAGACGTTGACGAATCAGCGCAGGGAAGAGCTTGTGTTGGAAGGATGGGGACGCACCTTCTCCTGCAAGAAGCGCACGTCCGACTTCAACGCCTTATTCTCCCTCTCCAAATCCTCCTTCCTCCTACCCGCCCCGCTCACATTCTCTCCCGCATCCTCCTCAACCTCCGTATCCTCCTGCATCTCCCCCTCGCCCTCTCCCTCTCCCTCCCTCCCCTGCGTAATCTTCCTCGCCAAAGCCCTAGCCTGTACCCTCAACTGCTCATTCTCCGTCACGAGTCGGTCCGTATCGAGTTGTGCGCGCGAGGCGTAGAAGGAGGGGAGGGCGGCGAGTTCGGATTCGAGGTGGGTGCGGAGGGAGGTGGCGGTTGAGAGCTGTGAGAGGGAGAAGGAGGGGGGTTAGTGCGGGTTTGGGAATGCAGGAGGGCAGGGGAGGTCGATGGAGGAGGGGAAGTAGGGAAGGATAGTATACGAAAACGGCGCGGGAGGAGAGTTAGAGAGGATGATGGATAAGGGGCAGACTCTGGGTGGCATGAGAGCAAGGGAGCGATAGAGGGGGACCAGGGATGAGGCGAAGGGGGGAAAAGAGTCTGGGCTTCGAGTAGGATGGGGGAGAGCGAAAGAAGAACAGGCGGCGCAGTGGAAATGTATCGATGTGGGAAGGAAAAGCGCATGATGTATCGCGAGAGGAGAGGGCTGAGTGGGTGGGAATGAAGGGAAAAAGAAAGGAGAGAAGAAGAGGCATGGGAAGAAAGGACGAGGAGGAAAGAGGAATGAGAGGCGGAAGAGGGAAGGGAGGGGAAAGGGGGATCGATGCGTGACAAGAAAGCGATTGGGTAGACAGTAAACATGGAGAGAATCGGAGGAAACTCGGGCGGCAGGAGAAGGGGGCGGCCGGGGCGTCGAGGCTCGATGGCGGATCGAGGGATGTGAAGGGAGGGAGGAGGCAGATGAGAGCAAACGAAACGCACCTGCGACTCGTACCGCTCCTCAGTCTCGGCAACCACGTCGTAAGCCGCCAGTCCGTGGTCGACGAGGGATTTGGCCTGTTTCGGTGGCGCTCGAGGCGTGAATGTTGGGGTCGAGCGATGGAGGGACGTAAAGAGGGCGCGCGGTGAGATGGATGTGTTGTTCGTGAAGGGCGAGAGGTCGTCGAAAGTTTGGCGATCGCGTGGAAAGAAAAAGAAGTCGCGGCGGGGAGTTGAAGCGGGTGAAGGAGCGGTTGGTGCGAGGCGGAGGAGGGGGCGGGAAGAGGTGGCCGGCCCGACAAAAGCGTTGAATGTCGGCGAGGAGAAGTTGGCGGGGGGTCGGCGGTGCGCGAGGAGGGGGGCGTCGAGGCGGGCGATCGAGGGAAGGAGGATGCAGGCGGGAGAGTCGGGAATGCGGAAGACGGGCGTGAGGGCGGTCCGGCAGGTCGAGGCGAGGAGAGAACATCGAGCGAGAGCATGAAGAGGTCGGTAAGAAGCGACGAGTAGAGGCGAGATGAAGAATTTGGCGGGCGCGCCCGCGAGGTTGCAAGCGCAGAGGACGGGCGAGATGGCGGGCCGACAGATTAAGACGAGAGAAGACCGTCAAGTGAGCACACGGACGGGTCGGTGGAGCGGGACGGGGGAGGACGGGACAAAGAAGGAAAGAAAAAAGGGTCGAGGTCAGTCGACTGCACTGGCGAAGGCAAGCCCTCCCAAGCGAGGGACGACGACGCACGATGTTGATGTCGACGACAGACTCCTGGATGGCGAAGGGGATGCAGCGCAAGAAGTCAGCCTCGGAAAGGTCAAGCGGGTTGGGATTGACTTGGAGCATGGCGGGAATGTCAACGGGCCCCCCGCCGTCCTGAGCGCCTCGAAGCACGCACCTGGGCCTGCGCGAGCTCGTCCTTGATCTCTCCGAGCCTCTCCTTGGACATCCACGCTGGGATCGCGCGCCTGGGAGCGGTGGTCGCTGCGGGAAGGCCGTTGACAAAGGGTCCCGGTGCCGAGGGCGAGGTCGAGCGTGCGGACTGAGCGGGTGCGGGTGGGCTGTTGCCATGCGAGCTGTTCGACTGTGCATCGATCGAGTCTGCAGTTGCCTGCATGGCCTGCGTGTGTCCCGTCGAGTTGTCCATCCGTCAGTTGGCCAGTTGGCGAGGAACGGGGGGAGGGCTGAGCGAGCGGGTGCTTCGAGGTTGCTGGTTGTCGCTCGTTGCCGTGTGATGAGTGTAGCTGTTCTGTGTAGTCCTTAGCAGCACACGCCCCAGCCAGTGTGCCCAGCTGAGCGAGTTGGGTTGGTATTCGACCTCGCTCTCGTCGCGGGCCACGCCTCGAACCTCGTCCGCCCGTCCTCTTCACTCCTGCGCGCGCTATCCGGTTCGTGTGCTCGTTCTGCAGCTGCTCCTTCTTTGATACCAGTCCAGCCTTACCAGCACCGTGCGTCCGCTTCTCCCGTCTCGCGGGGACAGGGCGTCTCATCGTGGAGGGGCCGCACCACACTCGCTCAGAGCCACGGCGCAAAGACCGGCCGGGGACGTTTACAGGCGCACAGCCCACAGAGGGAATTGACACGCTGCACACACACAGCCACAGCCGTAGCAGCGCCGACCTCCCACCCCTCTCCTCCTCCTCCTCTGCCGGCTCTCGTCTCCCTCCTCCTCGCCCAGCATGCTCCTCGACATCAATCGGAAGCTGCTAGCACGTTGCGCGCGAGTCAAGGCGGTAGATTTCCACCCGACGGAGCCATGTGCGTTTGGATCTCGTTCAGAGGCTGTCGAGGTCGAGCTGACCTTTCTCGCCTTGCAGGGCTGATGTACGTCTCCCGAACTCTTCATATACACCTCTGCACTCTCCCGAGCCGCTTCGGCTTGTGTGATCACGGTGTCGTTGCTCCGACCACGCCCTCTCTGCACCTCGACCGCATCGCGCATTCGCTGAATCCGCCTCGCTTCCTGCAGAACGGGCCTGTACACTGGCAACGTCATCATTTATCATGTCGACACCGGCGTAGGTTTTTGCACACCTCCTCCAATCCCCCGAGCCGCGCTGACCTAGACCTCCCGTCCGCAGGCCATCATCAAGACGTTCGAGGTGACCGAAGTGCCCGTGCGCTGCGTGCGGTTCATCGCGCGCAAGAACTGGTTCGTCTGCGGCTCGGACGACTTTCACCTGCGCGTCTTCAACTACAACACGGGCGAAAAAGTCACGGCGCTCGAGGCTCACCCCGACTATATCCGCTGCCTCGCCGTCCACCCGACTCAGCCTCTCGTCTTGACTGGTTCGGATGACATGACGATCAAGCTGTGGGACTGGGAGAAGGGGTGGAAGTGCATTCAGGTGCGTGCAGGCGGTTCCTCCCGGTGCAGGTTTCCGGGAGCTGACCCGGATCGCGCCTGGCAGGTCTACGAGGGCCACACGCACTACATCATGAACCTCGCGTTCAACCCGAAGGACTCTAACACGTTCGCGTCGGCGTGTCTCGACCGCACCGTCAAGGTCTGGTCGCTCGGTTCGCCCGTCGCCAACTTTACGCTCGACGCGCACGACAAGGGCGTCAACTACGTCGAGTACTACCACGGCGGCGACAAGCCCTACCTCGTCACCTGCGGCGACGACCGGCTGATCAAGGTGTGGGACTACCTGTCCAAGTCGTGCATCCAGACGCTCGAGGGCCACACCTCCAACGTCTCGTTCGTCATCTTCCACCCGTCCCTCCCCGTCCTCGTCTCCGGATCCGAAGACGGCACAGTCAAGATCTGGCATTCGGCGACCTACCGCCTCGAGAACACGCTCGACTACGGCCTCGAGCGCGCGTGGTGCGTCGCGTACGCGCGCAAGGGCAACGACGTCGCGTTCGGATTCGACGAGGGAGCAGTCGTCGTCAAGCTCGGTCGCGAGGAGCCCTCTGTCTCGATGGACCACTCGGGCAAGGTCGTCTATGCCCGCAACGCAGAGATCCTCACTGTCGCGCTGCAGTCCACCGCCGACGAGTCCATCCCCGACGGCCAGCAGCTCTCGCTCGCACCGCGCGAGCTGGGCAACACCGAGGTGTTCGCCTCGACGCTCCAGCACTCGCCGAACGGTCGCTTCGTCACGGTGTGCGGCGACGGCGAGTACATCATCTACACGGCGCTCGCGTGGCGCAACAAGGCGTTCGGGCAAGGTGTCGGGTTCGCGTGGGCGAGCGACTCGAACACGTACGCCGTCCGCGAGGCAGGCAGCAAGATCCGCGTCTACCGCAACTTCAAGGAGCGGCCCAACCTCGTCCAGGTCACGTACCCGACCGACGGCGTCTACGGCGGACCGTTGCTCGGCGTCAAAGGCATGGGTTTCGTCGTCTTTTACGACTGGGAGACGGGGGCGATCGTCCGCCGCATCGAGGTCGAGGCGCGCGACGTCTCGTGGTCGACGACCGGCAACCTCGTCGCCATCGCAGGTGACGAGTCGTTCTACGTCCTCCGCTTCGACCGCGACGCGTACCAGGCGCGCCTCGACTCGGGCGCCGAGATCGACGACGAGGGCGTCGAGGAGGCGTTCGAGCTCGAGTCGGAGATCTCGGACGCCGTGCAGACGGCCAAGTGGGTCGGCGACTGCTTCGTCTACACGACCGCCGCGAACCGCCTCAACTACCTTGTCGGCGGCCAGACGCACACGATCACCCACTTTGATACGACCATGTACCTCCTCGGCTACCTCCCGCAGCACAACCGCATCTACCTCTGCGACAAGGACGTCAACCTCTACGCCTACTCGCTCTCGCTCTCGGTCATCGAGTATCAGACCGCCATCCTCCGCGGCGACCTCGACGCCGCGAACGAGATCCTCCCTTCCGTCCCGCACGACCAGCGCAACCGCATCGCCCGCTTCCTCGAGGCGCAAGAGCTCCGCGAGCTCGCGCTCGAGATCTCGACCGACCCGGATCACAAGTTTGACCTCGCCATCGCCCTCGACGACCTCGAGACGGCGCTCTCGCTCGCACGCAGCTCGCCGCACCTCGGCTCGCAGACCAAGTGGCGCGCAGTCGGCGACCGCGCGCTCGCGGGGTGGAAGATCCAGCTCGCCGAGGAGTGCTTCAAGCAGGCCAACGACCTCTCGGCCCTCTTGTTGATCTACACCTCGACCGGCGACCGTGCCGGCCTCGATGGCCTCGTCGAGCGCGCGACCGAGCAGGGCGCCTTCAACATCGCCTTTGCTGCGGCCCTCCAGCTCGGCGAGTCGTCCAAGTGCGTCGACACGCTCCTCGCGACCGACCGCGCGCCCGAAGCAGCCCTCTTTGCGCGGACGTACGCGCCGAGCCAGGCCCCTCGCGCACTCAAGGCGTGGAAGAAGCAGCTCGAGGCGGCGAAGAAGCCGAAGCAGGCGAACGCGCTCGCCGACCCCGAGGCGAACCCGGAAGAGTTTGGGGACTGGAACGAGGCGCTCGAGCGCGAGCGGAGCAGGCCTCCTCCCGGCTCGGAGCATCCCGACTTGGTGCAGTTCGGCGAGGAGGAGCGAGGGGCGGACGAGCGGGAAGGCGAGGCGGCGTATGGGCAGCAGGAGCAGCAGGTCACGAACGGCTTGGCGGGACTGTCCTTCCAGGACTCGCATGCGCACGCGAACGGCGACCTGATCGATGCTGATGACTGTGCGCGATTTCTCCTCTACACCGCTCCCACCGTTACTGACCTTGACCGCTCGGACAGCCGACTTGCCTCCCGCAATTCCCGTCGTCAACGGCGCGCCTCCAGCACAACAAGAGGAGGACTTGCTCGCATGAGTCGCTAGAGTCTGACCCTTTCCCTTTCGCCTTGTCCTGTAGTAGCTGTGCCCCCAGACCGCTCAGCTTTTCCCAGCATCGTGCCGGTTGTCAACGATTCCCCCCAGTTTCCCTTCGACTGTGCAGCTGGTCCCGGGGTTTCTGTGAGCTTTGCGACGCGCCGCGCGTCTGACGAAACATTTCGGCCGCTCTGCGTCGAGAGAGGACGACCGGCGCAGGTTCTTCCTCTCCTCCTCACTCGCGGTCACGCCACTGCCACCGCAGCGGCTCCCGACAGCTTGTGCGTCCTCTTCTCTCCTTTTGGGACGCTTACTGCCCCTCTGCCTGGGCTACGCGGACCTCTGCTCGTTTCGTCGAACTTCATCACTCCGCGTCGGGTGAGGGGAACAACTTGCGTGAGGGGACCTCGCTGGACATGCAGACACGAATGTGCCGGTCATTTGAGGTCGTGGAGGGCTGGGCGTTCGCCCAGCTCGGATCTGCGCCTGGCACCGCCGGGCTAAGAGCGATTAGCGAGATCTTGCGCAGCTGTTGCGACGCTTCCGCCACCCAGTGTCATCCTTTCCACGCGAGAGTTATCACTGACTCTGCACGGTCGGACCTAGGCGCCTCGAGAAGCGACTGCTACGATGGAACGCTCCCGCTCGCTCCGCGAAGAGGGCAACCTCGCCTTCCGCTCCTCTCAATGGACCAAAGCGATCGATTTCTACACTCGAGCGATCGAAGCGGTAACGATCGACGTCGAGACGGCGACGGAGGAGGAGAAGGAACACCTTGCGGCGCTGTATTCGAATCGAGCGGCTGCACGGATACACCTCTTCCTCCTCGATCACGGTGCGTGCGCTCGTGCCTCCGCTCAGTGCGACTTCGCTCACTTTGTTCTTGCAGCGATACTCGACTCGGATGTGGCGATCAAGCTGCGACCAGAATGGAGTCGGGCTCATGCACGAAGAGGCGAAGCACTCGCCCGATTACACGACTTCGCCGAGGCACGACAAGCTTGTGCGTAATCAAGTCCAAAAAGATTACGACGCTTGAGCTAATCTAGCCTTCCACAGACCTGCTCGCCGTCGATCTCGCCGAGGACGAAGCGACCCGCTCTCGACACATGGCCGCAGCGGCATCCGCCAAAGCCAACCACGACGAGCAAGTCCGGCGGGAGAAGATGACAGTGTTCGAGATGGCCGAGTCTGCGCTTTCGTTCGCCGCGACGTACGACAAGTACGTCAAGGACGGAGGAGACCCGGAGAAGGAGGATCTCGTTTCGGCTTCGACGGCGGCTTATGCGTGGACGATGCTGGAGAAGGCGTTTGAGGAGCTGGATGAGAAGCTGTGCGCTGCTTTCGACGAGCTTTGGCGAGGTGTACTGACAGGCTGCCGAGCAAACAGAGAGGTCAAGGAGTCGGGTGAGGTTGAGGCGGTTACACCAAGTCCGAGCCTCGACATTGCAGGTCCGCAGCGCCTTTCACTCTCTTACTCCACATCCCTGACCGACTGCCCGCACGCAGACGCCATCATCACCGACTCACGCTGCTTCCACCTCCCACTCGGCCGCTCACACACCCTCCCGCTCTCCGAAAAACTCCGCCTCCAACTCGCATGGGACTCGAAAGTCCTCAACCTCGAGCAGTGGATCAAGCCAAGCGTTGTGCCGAGGGATGTCGTGAGGCATTATGATGAGAGGGTGAAGAGGGAGGGGTGGGCTAAGTGCGTCATGATTGCGACGATTCAGCGGGAGTGCGCTGATTGGATGTGTACGTGCAGGGTGAAGGTCGCGCTGGCGCACCTCATTCGCGGATCGTTCGTCGCGGCTTACATTAACGAAGTCCAGCTCCGAACGGGTGCGGTCTCCTCCCTCCCTCAAACTCGCTGCTCCCACTAATGCTATCTTGTGTGAACAGCGGAAGCCGTCTCACAGTACCGCTTCATCCTCGGCTTGCTCGTCGAAGCCCGCGCGCTATGGGAAGACGTCTCGGAGGAGGAGAAAGGCTCGACGTTCCGCTTTACGTTCGAGCGGAAAGTCAAGATGCATCTCGTCGGTGCGCTCTACTCTCTCTCTCCTTCTTCCTGCGATGCAGCTGACGGATGTGAGGGAGGCAGAGGCGCTTGTGGATGGACACTTCCGACACCACGGCACGCCAGAAGGCGACCATTTCCCGCTCGCCGAGGCGCAGAACCTCGCCGAAGAACTGATGGACGACTGCAAGCGCCAAAAAGCGCCGGGCGATCCAGTCTCGACTTTTGCTTTCCAGGTTTGCCCTCGCTCACCCTCCTCACCGACCAATCAGACTCTGACAAGGGTCTTGTGTGGGAGTGCAGATCCAGCCCGTCGTCGCAGCAGGCAAAGCCTTCGCCTACACCCTGCGTCACCGCGCAGCACTCGAAGAGAACCGCATCGACTTTCCTGCTGGGTACTGGCTGCATGGGGGAATGATGAAGGCCTGCGCGCGGCTTTGTGCGTCCGCGTCCTATCTCAGTACGTTGGGAGGTGCTGATGATTGGGGGAGGGGCGCAGATAAGACGGCGGGACAGTTGCTGCCGGAAGACGATCCTGAGAAGGCCGTCAATCTGTTCAATGCGCTCGCTTGGTGCGTCGCGGCCTCCTCCGTCGGCCGAGATCAAACTGATACGTACATGATCGCAGCGACCTGCGCGCGGGCGGCGTCACCTTTGCCGACCTGTTCTCGCGAGCAGCAGAAGCCGAATCCGCTCTCGTCCCTCCCGAGCGAATCTGTGCGTTCTTCCGCGTATCTTCCAAGCTAAACTACCGCACTGACCCTTGCACGCAGTCGGACCGTCCCCGCGCCTGTTCGACTCGCGCAAGCTCGTCCGATACGCCTGCAACGCTGTCCGCGCCTCTCTCGCCCCGCTCCTCCCCTCGATCCCGCCCGGCGAGCTCGAGAAGACTGTCAAGCCCGTCCCTACGGTCATCGCAGAGGCTGTTCCGACGGGAAAGAGCTGGGAGGATTGCGTGGATGAGGAGTTGAGGAGGGAAGTGCCTGGGGACTTGGCGGTGGCGGAATTTACGACGAGCGGCGGTGTCGACGAGCCGGCGAGCTCGTCGTAAGGCGTCGGCGCGAGTGCAATTGAAACGCGTCGCTTTCGACAGGACAAGGCAGGCGGAACGATAAGGAGGGGCGGGAGGTGCGATAGAAGTCCTCATCCTCGACCTTCTCTCGCAGCAATCTTTGCCTCGCCGTCTCGCACGTCTCGCTACATAGCTTGGGGGTGACTGCATGCGTTGGTTACGTATCGCTTTGTGAAGCCTGGAGAGCGAAGGGCGAGGGCGAGGGGCGAGTGGCAAAAGGATGGTCGCCGGGGCTCGTCGCGGTCCGGAATGGAATGTCTCGCTCGCTGCTAGTGCCGTGCCCAGGCCGCCGTTTGATTCGCCGGTTCGCGCACATCGCGCGCGAGAGAGCTTCGACCGCTCGTTCGCCTTTCTCCTTCACCCGCTCACTCCGCCGCTTCCCTCTCCCCCTCCCTTGTTCACGTGTGAGCTCATTAGAACACTGCTACTAGCCAGCGCACGGCACTGACACGCGCGCGGACCACGTCGAACAGCGCAGACCCCTGCACGTTTCCCCCCTCCGCACCACCCCCAACCCCCCTTCTCCCCGCTCGACCCACCCCTTCCGACCACTCAGCGACACCAGCAATGGCCGCCACCCTCCGCCAGCGTGCTGCCGCGCAGCCCGCTCCCCGCAAGGAGAAGGAGCACGATGTCCTCGCCTCTTCCGACTCTGAGGACGAGCACAACCAGGACCCGATCAAGGCCCTCGAGAACGAGTACCCGCCGTTCGTCGTACCCAACTACTCGATCAAGGAGTTGCTGGGCGCCATCCCCGCCCACTGCTTCGAGCGCTCGGCGCTGCGCTCGTCGCTCTACGTCGTCGGCGACTTTGCCATGCTCGCGGGTCTCGGGTACGCCGCGTCGCACATCGACCCGGCCTTTTCGTTCGACGGCGGCAAGGTCCTCAGCGGCTGGGCCGGCTTCGCAGCCAAGTGGGCCTTGTGGTCCGCCTACTGGGTCCTCGCCGGCTGGGTCGGCACGGGCGTCTGGATCCTCGGACACGAGTGCGGCCACCAGGCGTTCTCGACGTCCAAGACGGTCAACAACACGATGGGCTTGTTCCTCCACTCGTTCGTCCTCGTCCCGTACCACTCGTGGCGCATCTCGCACGCCAAGCACCACGCCGCGACCGGACACATGACCCGCGACGAGGTCTTTGTCCCGCGCACCGCGTCGTTCCGCAACCCCAAGCCCACCGGCAGGAAGCTCCGCGTCGCGCCCAACATCGAGCTCGACGAGCTCCTCGAGGACGCCCCGCTGTACCGCCTCGGCTGGCTCCTCGTCCAGCAGCTCTTCGGCTGGCCCGCGTACCTCTTCTCGAACGCATCCGGACAGCTCTGGTACCCCAAGTGGACCAACCACTTCGACCCGTCGTCGCTCGTCTTTGACGCGCGCCACCGCGGCCAGGTCCTCATCTCGGACGCCTTCCTCGCGGGCATGATCGGCCTCCTCGTCGCCTTTGGCCAGGTCGTCGGACTCGCCGGCGTCGTCAAGTACTACTTCATTCCTTACCTCTTTGTGTGAGTTCGCGCGGCCCTTCCTTGCGCCTCCTCCTTGATCTTCCCTGGAACCTCGCTGACTCTTTCGGGCCTCCCTGCGCGTCTACAGCAACCACTGGCTTGTCATGATCACCTACCTCCAGCACACGGACCCCTCGCTCCCTCACTACAACGCCGGCATGTGGAACTTCCAGCGCGGCGCCCTCTGCACCATCGACCGCAACATGCTCGGCCCCGTCGGACCCTACCTCATGCACGGCATCTGCGAGACTCACGGTGCGTCAATAGTAGCGTTGATTTCGCGGTTTGGAGATTGGTGGCTGACTTGCTTCTCCTCTCCTCCCTTTCTTCATCCCCCTTCTCCCGCTTCCTCGATCCCACAGTTGCGCACCACCTCTCGTCCAAGATCCCCCACTACCACGCGTGGGAGGCGACAGAGGCGCTTAAGAACTTCCTCGGCGAGCACTACAACTACACCGATGAGCCCATGTTCTTGTCGCTCTGGAAGGCGTATAGGCAGTGCCGGTTCGTCTCGCTTCTCTAGGCCATTTCAGAGCCTTCTTGGACGTCCTCGCGCGTTTACTGACCTCCCGCTCGCTTTTTCCCGCAGCTACGTCGACGACGAGGGCGACGTCCTCTTCTACCGCGACGCCTACGGCCGCGCACGCCGCGTCGCCGTCCCCGCCGAGGTCCCCTCCGACTCGGGCGTCGAGGGACTCTAGACGACTCCCTAGAACCTCCTCTCTCTCTCTTTCTCTTCGCGGCTCGTAGATTCCCACACCCTCCTCTCTCTCGCTCTCTCTTTGGTTCAAGACGCATCTCTCCAAGTCGTCGTAGATTCTCCCTCTCACCCCACTCGCCCTCAAGTCGTCGTTTCTGTTCGGTTTCGGTCTGTGTCCCGTGTGCTGCTCCGCAATGGGGTCACAGAGGTCCTTGTGTTAAGCAATTATCAACGCTCTTTTACACCAACCCAGCCTTTTGCGCCGTGAATGGGATCGAGTAGAGAGAGAGAGTGCAGACGATGCACTGAGCGTCTCTTTTCGGGCGTTGCGCAGGAAAACGGCGAGGAGCAGGAGGAAGGTCCGGAGGGGGAGAGCTTGTTTGGGGAAGGGGAATGCGACGGAGGGTCTCCATCCGTGAAGCAAGGAATGCCAGCAGCGTCAAAATGTGCGTACAAAGCGTGGAGACGCTGCAAGGGGCGGAGGAGAAACCATTCGAGAGGCAGGCGGAGGAGAAGAGAACGCGAGCGCTCGTCGACGAGGCGCGGGGCGTCGCTGAAGCGTTCAAGGGGTTGTACAGGTCGTACTGAGCAACTGGAAGTTGACCGCTAGGCTGGGGAAGACGTTGGGTCGTCACAGAGAAACGGAGGAGGTCGAGGAGAGGGTGAGGAGCAACGAGCGCACGAGCGGCGGTACTGGGCGCTCGCGGCAAACTTGCGTAGAGGGGAGAGGTGATGTTCTCGTCCAGCGAGACTGGCCGTGTGCGCGCGAGACGAAGCAGAAGGGAGAAAGGGCGGAGGCGAGAGGCGGCGATGAGCGAGGAGAGCGCGAAGGCTGATCACTTGCGCGAAGATTCTCCATCCCGAGAGAGAGAGAGCAAAAACTAGACCAGGATGAGAGAGAGGAAGGAAGAGCAAGCGTGAGTGTCGGAGGAAGAGGAAGACAGGCGATGAAGAAAGAGCTGAACCAGAACGCTTGAGTAAGCGCGAGCGCGAGAAGGTGAGATGGACAAGTGAAGCAGTCGCATTTGCCGAGGAAAGCGAGCCGCGTCCAAAACTTCGCAGGGAAAGAGCAGCAGAAAGAGTGCCGAGCGTAACACTCCTCATCCAGCCTCTCATCTCTCTCCTCCCTCTCGCCGACGTGCGTCCCTCAAAAACACCCTCAATTCCACTTCCCCTACACCCACCCGAACGCACTCCCAACCCTCCGCACACACGTCTTCCCACCCCCCTCTCCATCCTCCTCCCCGCGCACCAAAACCAGAGAAATCCTAAGTCTTTCATCAAAGAGAGACGGCATTGGATGAGTTGGTGTAGGTGTAGGGGAGGAGCGGAGGAGAGGGGACGGTTGGTGTGTGGGTGGTTGGGATGGTGAGGGAGGTGGAGATGGGGGAAGAGAGGGTGAAGAGGGGTTTTGGGGTTTAAGGGAGCCCTGTTGGGGACGCCGATTCTGTACACGCCATGCAAGCTTATCAGCGACGCTCTCTCGAGGGAAAGACACGCCGAAGCAAAGCGACGGAAGCGCAGGGAAACGTAACGTACACCTCGACTGGAAGTACTCGAGCAAGACCGAGAGGGCCTCCGACTCCTGTCCGTAGTCCTTGACGACGACGCACGAGCAGCCGACGACCTTGCGGGGGACACCGTCCTTGTCGAGCTTGCAGAGACCGGCCCTGCGCAACGAGCGTTAGTACGGGCGGGAAGAGGAGCGGATGGGGATGGATGGGACGGGACGCACCACTCGCCGAGGAGCTTGGGGTCCGAGATCTGTGCGAGTGTGAGAAGAAGCGCGGCAGAGCAGGACGAGGTGGGTCAGGCGCTTTCTCGGAGGAACATCCCTCTCGACACCCTCGAGACGCGAGCGAAACGGCTCTCCTCGGAAACGCACCTTGATGAGGTTGATCTTGTGCTCGGCGCAAAGAGCCTCGATGAGCTTGACGTACTCTCCCTCGGTGCAAGACTCGTTGAGGACGCAGAGGTGAGCCTGGCGCTTGTCGAGGGCCTTGGCGCACTCGCGGAGTCCGCGGGCGAGACCGTCGTGGACGAGAGCCTTCTTGAGGACCTCCTTGAGGGCGTCCTGCGCACCCAACCATTACGGCTGTCAGCGCGCGCGCAAAAGGGAGGAGGACGAGGGACGGAACGCACCTCGACGCTCATCTTGCCCTTGGGGGCCTCGGTCTCCTGGACCTGGACCTCCTCGACGTCGGCCACAACAGGGGTCTCGCTTCCGTTATCACTCATGGTTCTGCGTGCGAGCGAGCGAGTCGGGGGGCAGGTTAGCGGGATGCGAAAAAGTTGGGCTCGCGCGGGCGTGAGGGGATGCGGGTGGACGGGAGTTGGATGGGTGGGTTGGTAGGAGTGTGTAGAGGGGTTTGAGCGCACACTTGGAGTACTCTGGGCTGAGTGAAGCTGTCCTAAGCGAGTGGAGAGCAGGAGAAGGGGGGAGCGGGCGAGCTCGAGGCTGGCGGAGTGGTGCATGCACTCGGGCTGTTGACTGCGAGAGCCAGCGAGGGAGTGCGAGTGTGTGCAGGGACACTTATGGACAACGCAGAGCTCACGCACAGTCAGTCCCACTCAACTCCCGCCTTCTCTCACCTCCTCCTCATCCCATCCCCGCCCCACACCCACCTCACTCACTCTCTCTCTCTCTCCCTGCGCGCAGTGGACCGCCTCACCCAGACACAGAACTCCATCGATGACGCACGCTCTCCCCCTAACCCTCCCCTTCCTCCTGGCTCAAGCTCACGTCTCGTCCTCGCCGCAGCTCATCCGCATCATGTACTCGACACTCGGGTACCTCTCGCGCAAGGCTTCGTTCAAGCAGATCAATCCCAACTTTCCCGTCACGCAGGCGATTCAGGGGGCGGACCCGGAGGAGGTGTTCGAAGGTGCGTCGGAGCGAGTCGTCGTCGAGGGCGCAGTTGGTCTCTCGTTCGCCTGTGCCGGGCGAGAGACTAGCTGTTCGTGATTCTGAGGACGACCTCACTGACCCCCTCGTGATGCCCGCGCAGCAAACCGCAAAGAACTCGTCCACGACTTCCTCCTCAAAGCGAAACAACTCGAGCTGCTCATCTCTTCTCTTCCCTCTACGCCGCCCGGTCCAACTTCAGTTGAAGGGGACGACGCGGACGAGTTTGAGGACCTGGAGAGGGAGGTGAGGAGTGTGAATGGGGAGTATCTGGAGGCGCTGGGAGAGGCGGGTGAGTCCGCGCAGAAGAAATCGCTTGCGGGCAGCCCAGTAGCTGTTGGGCAGGCGGTTTGTCGTGTTCTGCAAAGGCTGACACAGCTTTCTACATCGCAGAATCCCTCCACGCACAGCTTCAAGCCTCGCTCGCCGGTGTCCTCGAAACCCGCAGCACGTCCACCGCGACAACCTCCTCTTCCGCGCCAACTGCGGATCCTACAGCAGCACCAGTAGCGTCTTGACGACTCCAACTCGCGCACACGGAGTCAGTCGACGACGGCGCGCTCGATACCCAGCATTCCTTCGCGATACCCTCTTCCCCTTGTCTCGTTCTCCGCATCGCCGCATCGCGCTCGCCTCCAACGGCGTATACAACAGGCTCGCATTGTCTGCAACGTCGCGTCGCTCATACGAAGCCCTGGACGAGACGATTGCGCGTCGAGAGAGAGTAGAGTCTTGCGGACAAGAGTTCCGCTTCGCGGCTTTCTTCGCTCGCTGCTCGCTCCTATTCTCCGAGAGTACCACGTACGCTGCACCTTGCTCGAAAACAAAGCAGTCGAGCGCGTCGTCGGCAAGTTGGCCGCCCCCGTCCTGGCTGCCTGTGCCATTTTGTCCGGGCCCGCCGCACCGCGCCTTCGCTCCGCGCGCGCCGAGTCGAGTGGGGCTTTCTCTCCGCCCGCTCACTCTCCCTCCCTGCTTACTAGACTGGGCTACTGCTATAGAGTGTAGGGAGATGGCACCGCATCCAGACGCACTCGCACCCGCACCACTCGATCCGGGCGGATACGAACTGCACCGTCGTCGGCAACCCTCCTCCGCTTCCTCTGCTGCTACGACGACGAACGCAAGACCGAATGAAGGAGGATTGTTGGGGAGGAAGATCGTCTTGGCGGGGTTGAGCAATCAGGTGCGTCTTCTCTTGCTGTGCCTCGTCGCCGGCGAAGAGGGGAACACGTGAAGGCGGATCGCACTCCAGCGCTTTGGGAGTGAGGGCGAAGGCTGACGACTTGAGAGGGTCCGGATGGTACAGACTGCGGCGCTGTTTACGAATCCGGCGGATCTGTGAGTTTGTCGCGAGTGGTTCTCTTCCTCCTCGTCGAGTCTTTGAGGCGTGCGAGGCTCCCGTCGAGCTCTCCACGCCTCTGCTCGAAGGACAGGAAGCTGAAGAGCCCGCTGATCCCCTTGTCCCTCCACGCAGCATCAAAGTCCGCCAACAACTCGAGTTGAAATCCCTCTCGCAATCCGGCTCGTCCTCGACGCGCTCTACCAACGCCTTCCGCACGCTCGTCAACATGGTACGCGCCGAGGGGATCATGAGTATCTACAAGGGCCTGTCGGGGAGCTTGCTGAGGGAGGCTTTTTACTCGTGCGCACGCTTTCCTTCTTCTCCACTTTGTGGAGTGAACGCTGGGCTGATGGGTTCGTTGGGCTTGTGAGGACAGTGGGATCAGGATGGGAGGATACGATCTGGTCAAGGCGAGCATCATCAAGACGTTCCCGCTGGCGGATCCGAATGGGTTTGGGACAAAGTTGGCGGCGGGGATGGCGAGTGGGTGCGTTGCGCCGACTTCCTTGCGCTCCTCGTGCTTGTGAGAAAGTAGAAAGTGAGCTCAGGGCTCTGATGTGGTGTGCGCAGGATCGTTGGCGCGGCAGTCGCAAATCCAGCAGACCTCGTCCGTCCGCTTTCCGTCCCCTCCCTTCTCGGTCCCCCCTCTAACGCCTCACACGCACACACAGCTAAAAGTCCGCATGCAAGCCCCCTCAGCACACGGCACACTCCGCCAACACGCCTACCAAATCTACTCGGCCAACGGTCTCAAGGGGATGTACAAGGCGGTTGGGCCGACGACGTTTCGCGCGGGGATATTGACGAGTTGTCAGTTGGGGTGTTATGACCATGCGAAACATGTGTGCGTCCCTTGTCCTTCTCCTCCTCGTGATTGAATGGGCTGACGCGAAGTGGATTGGACGACGCAGCCTCAAGACCGACTTCCCGAATACGTTTGAAGAAGGCCTAACGACGCACCTGATCGCAAGCGGTATCGCAGGGTTCTGCTGTTCGGCAGCCAGCAACCCCGTCGACGTCCTCAAAGTGCGGCTCTTTCCCTGCCTCCCTTTCCTCTCCAAGCTGATGATGTAGGGTCGGGGGATAGGTACGGATGATGACGGACAAGACGGGCGAGTATCGGAATTCGTTCCATTGCGCTGCGCTGCTGTTGCGGAACGAAGGTGCGTCTCCCTCTCCCTCCTCGCCTTCTTCTCCCCGTCGGACTCGCTGACGCTCTTCCCGCTCGCGCACAGGCCCACTGGCGCTCTACAAAGGCTTCGCAATGAGTTTCTGGCGCCTGTGGCCTCACAGCATCGTCTCGTTGATCGTGTTTGAGCAGGCGAGAAAGTTGTTTGGGTTGCCGCCTGTCTAAACCACAACTCTCTGTACCTCTCTTGTTTGTGTTAGACTGGAGGAGTGTGTTGTATCGAGTAGACCCTGAGCGTGCGGACGAGCGAGAGGAAGAGAGCGAGAGGAGAGAAGGAGGTGGGTGTGGCAACAGGCTGTCGGCGATGCAATGCGAAGAATGGATGGGAGGTACTACGAGTTATACGGATCGAAAGAGTCTATGCGAGACTGCGCGGGAACAAAACTCTAGAGCGAAAACAGAACGAAGGGTCTATGCGAGAGGAGGCAATCTTCAAGCCCCGAGCTTGAGGTCACTGAACGACGCGCCCAAGTCCTGCGACGTCGCGTCCGTTTCCTGCGACAAGTCGACCGACGACTCGCCGACTTGTTCGTCGCCGCGGGCTTTGTCGGCTGCTGCGCGGGCTTGCTCGAGTTGCTTCTTCTCGAAGGCGCGCTTCATCGCGAAGTAGTCCTGTGCGATGCCAATGCTCGTCAGTACGAGCACAGAGAGTGAGAGGAGAGTGAGTTGTGCGCACCTTGTGCAAGCCGCACTCGGTCTTGGTCTTGTTGGACGCCCAACGGCCCGACCGCTCGCCCTCTCCGTCCTTGGGCTTGACAGTCGAGTGCCAGTCGCCGACGCTCTTGTACCCCTGGTCGAGGAGCGGGTTGTACGGCACGCCCGCCATGTCGATATAGTCCTTGACTTCCTGGAACCCCCACCGGCACAACGGGTTCACCTTGACCAACCCAGTCGAGTCGACTTCGATCGGCTCCAACGTCGCGCGGTCTGCGCCCTGAGAACGCCGTCGACCGGTGATGACCGCCTTGACGCCGAGGGTGTCGTACGCCCGCCGCGCAGGCTCGACCTTGACGAGGTAATCGTACGTGTCCTCGTCCGTCTTCCACAACTTTTCGCCGTACTTCTCCTCAAACTCGTCCGCTGTCTCGACCCCGGGCGGACGGAACGTCTGCAGTTCGAGGTGGTACTTGGACTCGACGCGGCGGGCGAGGTCGAGCGTCTCGGGGAAGTGGTAGAGCGTGTCGAGGAAGATGAGCGGAACGGCGTGAGGTTGCTTGCGTTTGCGAGAGATGCGGCTGATCATGTCTGTCGCTGCGAGGCCGGTCAAGCCGAACGCGGTCGTCTGGAAGAGGCCGGGGATGTGGTCGATCGCGTAGGTCAGGATGTCCTGCGGCGAGGCGTCGGCGAGCGAGGCGTTGATCTCGTCGAGCCTGCTCGGGTCGAAGGGTATGCTCGACGTCGATGCGACGGGTGAGGACGACATGGCTGATGGCGATGGATGGGGACGGAGCAGGGATTGCGTGCTTGAGAAGGCCTCGCGGGAATGGGCGTCGCTGGCTGTTGCTCGGGTGTGTCGAGTTGTGTCGTTGTCGAGTGAGTGTGAATGAGTGTGAGTAGCAAGAGAGAGTGAGCGAGAGAGAGTGAGAGCGAGCGAAGTCGTTTGGCGAAGGCGTGCTTCGTGCTGAGCAAATCCTGCCGAAGGGCCGAGGCGCGCCTCCACCTGCCCTCGCTCCCCTCGCTCAACCCATCCAGCGCCTCATTCACACCGTACACACACTCAGACACACTCAGCATCCCATGCCGACACACCCGAACTGCCACGGACCGCTGCGATGCCCTCCCGACCGCGGTCGAGCGAGCAGGATCGCAATCGCTCGGGCCCCTTACCGATCCAGCCAACGGCGCTCGCTATCGTCAGCCCGCTTGACGTCGGTGTCCTATCCGCGAGAGATTGCGCACAGCAGAAATCGCTCGAAGGCCCGCTTGACGCTGGAATCGCCACACTAGCCTTGTCCGCCCGTCCGCCTGTGCGCAACGAGCTTGGAATACAACAACGAGTGTACAGAAACTGCTGCTGGAAACGAGAGTGCGGGAGGAAGAGCGGAGAAAGCTGTCAAGGAGAGGCCAGAGTCGGTGTTCAGAACCCGTTCGCCAGCATCGAAGCCGCCATCCTAGCCTGCGCACCGCACAGACCGTCAGCTCAGCCACATGAAGCAGATTCTAGAGAGAGGGAGCGGGGCGGAAACGCACATCAACCTTTTGCCTCCTGTCGCCCTCGACATGCACCGAACTCGCCATACTCCTGACGCTCCTCTTCTGCGCCTTCTGCGCCATCGAGCCCAAGTCCCTGCCGCTCTCTCCTCCCAGCGGATCCGCCGGAGCCGAGGGAGCGACTCGACTCGGAGTAGGCGACCCCGGCGTTGGCGCCGGTCGACTCGAGACGGACGACGCCCCAGCCCCTGCACGTCCCACCACCTGTCCCCCCGGCGCCGTATGATAAATCACCCCTGCCTCCTGCCTCTTGATCGCCTTCACGTCCGGTCTCAGGAGCTCAAACTCCTTCAGCCGCTGTTTCTCGCAAAGGAGGGTCTGCCGCGCGTGCTCGAGGAGGGTGGAGAGCAGGTCCGAGTGGGTGTCGATCGAGTGACGGGTTAGGGAGGGTTGGAGGTTGGTTGAGATGCCTTGGAGTCGGCGGGCGAGGGTCTCTTCGTATCGCTGGGCCTGTCCAACCCACTCTCATCAGCCTCAACTCTCACTCCACAAACCCACAGAAAGACGCGAGAAACGCACCTCGTCAAGATCCTCCAACGCCTCATTGACCTTGTCCGCCCTCAACGACGACGCACTCTTGAGTTTTTCAATGTTGCGTCGCTTCGAGATGCTCGACTTGACGGCTTGGCGGTGTTCGTCGGCTACGGCGTCGCGCCCTGAGAGGGTTTCCTGTTGTGCGACGAGGGAGTGAGCGAGGGGAGAGAGGGAGGGGAGGAGGATGAGGACGCACCTTGGCCGACTTGGCGTTGGCGGACTGGTAGACAAACATGTCGCCGAGTGTAATCTGTTCCTGAATCGACTGGGGACGCAGCGAACCTCGTCAGCCCGCCGAACAGCGAGGCGAGGGAAAAGGAAAGCGCTCGACTTGCCTGCACCGCCAACAAATCCGCATCAACCTTGACGCTCCTCGCCAACCTCTTGAACCCCGCCGCTAACGGCGCATAACTCTCCGCCAACGCAAACGTATTCAGTTGGTCGCCCAAATCGTTCACGCTCGTCGCTGCCGCCCGTCGAGTTTTCGAGACTCGGTCGATGGTCTTGGCCGTGTCGTGGAAGGTGGATTCGAGCCGTGACATGGAGATTTTGGCGAGCGTGAGGGGGTCGTCGAGTTCGCCTGGGAGGCGGGAGCTCCGAGAGAAGGAGAAGGACGCGGCGGAGGACTTCTTGCGTGACCGAGCCGTGTACTGCGCGCGCGCGAACTCGAGGCCCGTCAGCCTGGACTCTCAGAGAGCAGTCAGGCAAAACCAGCGAGCGCCCGGCACGCACCCCAAAGTCGCTCTCAATGAAACTGCGCATCTCCTCATCCCTCACAACCGCCGGATCACTCATCACCCTCACAACCCACTTCTGAAACGCAGCCTTGATGAGCCGGTCGTCTTCTTCGTCTGATGCGGCGGAGGTTTGGGCGAGAGGAAGCGCGGGGATGATTGATTGGGGGCAGGTGACGGAGAGGGCGGAGACGAGAGACATGAACTCGCCGTACGAGCGGGAGATGGAGCGGTCTGCGGGGCGTCCGGATTAGAAGGCGCAGTAAACGGACGATAGAAGCAGTTGGGAACGCACAGCTGGAGTGGTGAAAGTTCGGGAGGTTCGTCTGTGGAGAGAAGAGCGAGGTCAGGTCGCACTACCTCGAGGGCCCGAGCCCGCCCAACGCACCTCTGCATTGAACTTGATGTAGATGTCGCGCCTGTTCCTCTCCAACCCCATGATCCTGATGCGGATGAACCCCTCTCGCTGCTGAGCACCCTGTCCGCCGTTCGAGCCCGCCTCGCCCGCCGCCCGCCGGCCATTCATCGAGTCCGCCACCTGTGCACTGCGCGGTACGAGTCCCGCCGTCCTCCCCTGCTGCTGCTGCTGTGATCCCTCACCGCTCGCTCCCCACCCATCTCCGCTCGTCCCGCCGTGCTGCCACGCGTCGCTCTCTCGGGACGGTGGACTAGCCGACCCGAACCCAGGCGCCCGGTAGTCCCTGTCGTAGCCTGGCAGGGGCGCGCGAGGTGCGACAGAGGAGAGGTCGCTGCCTGGGTGGGGGGAGTGACGAGCGGGTTCGTACGCTGCGGGATGGAGCGGGTCGTAGTCGTTCATTGCGAGTGAGGTGGAGTCGTCAGACGTGCGTCGCAAGGCCGGACGGGTCGGGAAGAGGCGTGCGCAGGGAGTCGAAGTCGACGAGGGCGGGTTGGCCGATGAGGACGGGTTGGGAGGGAGGAGCGCGAGTGCGGACCGGCAGCAGCAGCGTGGAGCGCAGTACGAGTCCTTCTCAGCGACGCACGAGCGTCTGGCGCCGGATCGAGTCGAGGGAGAAGAGCGAGAGAGCGACTTGGCCTTGTCCTCGACGACTCCGCCAACGACGGCCGCAGCGGGACTCAGCAACGACGGGCTGAGCATGGCGCGTCCTCTCGCTCACACTGTCGCTGTCACTGGCAGCGGTCTCTCCAGCCGCGACGACGAACACCTCGGGGTCCTTTTCTCCGCCTTTTGACCAAGACTCGCTAGGCTGCGTTTCGCCAAGTACAGGCCGAAGTGAGGGGGACACCCTCGAAAATCTAATCGCTCGGTCTCACGTCTTATCCGATCAGCGACTAACTGAGCCGCTCGAGACCTGCGCAGAGACTGGGTCGAGGCGCTGCTGTGCGCGGTGAAGAAGTCAGTGACACGAGGATACACACCCGCAAGGCGTGTGAGGGGCCACCAGTCAACAGTGGCAGCAGCGTTGGCACCACGCTAATGTGTCGAGACAGATCGAAGGGCAGCCGTGAGGTGTGAGAAGAGCTAGGCGCGAACACCGCACAGAGCATCAGTGGGGCGTAATCACCATTGCTCGACCTCCCGAGAGACCGCCACACACGTCGACACATGCAGCCCATCGATTGGGAACGATCCAAGATAGGCCGGGCAGTAGCAGCGGATGGGGCTAGACACCCAAGTCGCGAGCGCGAGACCGGGAGGGCGGGGCCGTGAGATATCCTACCAGCGTTGCGCGAAGCCTGCGGCAGTATTGTGTACTAGAATGATGGCATAGGAGCCATCCGCCAATTCAAAGCACAGCCTGCGGAGCCGTGCGAGGAGACAAGACGAACGCCTGGAGTCGGAAGCCGCCTTTCTCCGATATTGAGCCTGCCGGTCTGCCTTTTCGCGCCGCGCCTCGCGTCACAGAGCCCTCGACACTGTGCCCAGCATGCGCCACCGCTCCCCGTCGCGTTGACGTGTCGAGAGAGCCGGAACTGATGAGAAGCGAGGACGGGGTCAGGAAGCGCGAGAAGGCGATGCGGCGTGCTAGGGAGCGTCTCGAGCGTTCTAGTGGAGGCAAACGAGTGACCGAGCAGCTGCACAGCATCGTACGAGCGATGTGCCCCGGCGACGGGGAGACCAACCTGCGACGCCGCATCTCTCGCTCCTCCACATCTCGCTACTCTCGCTACCGAGCCTTGATTTACCAGAGATGGACATCGACGACATCTTCAAGGTACGCCTGCCGCGGTCTCACAGCCACCGGCTGTCCATCGCGCTGACTTGACCCCCGTTCCCCCGCCTTGCAGCGACCGCCTCTCCCAAAGTCCACCGTCGGCACAAAGCGGAAACACGAAGCGCCTTCGCTCGACCCAGAGTCATACAAGTCCGTCCGCCTCGACACGCCCAGCGGTCCTGCCCCGACTGCCGGTGCAGACAAGGGCAAGGCGAAAGCGAAGGGCGTGACGGTCCAGGACGGGTCGGACGAGGAGGATGAGGGAGGTGCAGGTGCTCAGGAGGGAGAGTTTGCGCCGAATGGGGACGCGGACTACTTTGCAGAGGAGGACGAGGACGGGCGGTTCTTGTGAGTTCGACTTGGCTCGCTCTCCTTCTGTTCGTGCGCGCGCTGATCCGGCCTGCACAGCGGCGGTGGACTTAACACGGTGCAGAAGGAGGTGCTCAGCATCATGGAGGGGTCGGGGAACGACGAGCAGCTGCCAGGCGAGGACTTGACGCCCCAGAGCGTGCGGAAACAGCTCCTGAACCTCGAAAAGGCCGTCAACAAGAACCGCGACTTGCGCACTCGGTTCCCCTCCGACCCGGAGAAGTTTGTCGACTCCGAATTCAACCTCCTCGAAGCGATTCGCGCCGTCTTCCTCTTCTCGACTGCGCCGGCACTCGCCTATCCCCTCATGCTCGAGAATTCGACGCCTAATACGTTCGCCGACCTCCTCTCGCACGAGAATATGGACGTTCCGATTGCTGTCGTTGAGGTCTTGGAGGAGCTGCTGGATCCAGAGGACCTGGAAGAGGTCGACGAGGACGAGGAGGACGGGGATGGCGCGGTTGAGAAGAAGCGGACGGCGATGAAGGCGTTGTTGGACGGGTTGGTCGAGGCGGGCGTGGTCGACCTCGTCGTTGCGCAGCTGCAGCGAGTCAACGAGGAGGACGAGGGCGAGCGGAACGGTCTCTTCCACACTCTCGGTGCGCATCATCCATCGACAATGTGCGAGCGTGGGCTAACTTACGCCACACAGGCCTTATCGAGAACCTCATCTCCCTCTCGCCCGCCCTCGCCTCACCCTTCCTCTCGCCAAAATCGCCCTTCCTCTCGTTCCTCGTCAACCGCCTCTCGCAAACCTCAAAGCCCGTCGAGTATGACCAAAACCACTTCTACGCAGCAGAGATGTTTGCTCTGGTGCTGAGCTTGCCGGCGGAGGTTGTGCAGGGTGTGAATGAGGCGCGGCAGAGGGTTGGAAGCGAGGGGTGGGTCGAGATCTTGCTCAAGGTCCTCTCGGTGCGCTAGATACCTCCTTGTCACGTTGAAAGCTGCAGAGACAGTTGACGCCGCTTTGTCTCACGCAGACCTACCGCAAGCGGGATCCAGTCGGCTCGGAGGAGGAGGAATACATGGAGAACGTCTTCGACGCCTTGTGCTCCTGCCTTTCCTCGCCTACCCTTCCTCCGTCGAACCCGTCCGACCCGCCCGTCCACGCCGTCAAAGCCGCCTTCCTCGCCGACGAAGGCATTGAGCTCCTCGTCCTCATGCTGAAGGCCAAGAACATGTCACGCAACAGGGCTATCAAGACACTCGATCATGCGTTGCAGGGCAGGGAGGGCGCGCCGTTGTGTGAGCGGTTTGTGGAGGCGTTGGGGCTGAAAACGCTGTTCGCGGCGTTCATGGGTCGGGTGCGTTCAGTCTCGTTCTTGCGCATGTCGATTGAGAGGCCCATCCATCTTGCACGCAGTCCGACGACAAGAAGAAGAAAAAGGCCGCGCTCGCGACCACCCACGAAGACATCGAGCACATCCTCGCCATCCTCTCATCCCTCTTCACCTCCCTCCCCTCCGACTCTCCTCCCCGCATGCGACTGCTCGCCAAGTTCGTCGAGAACGATTACGAGAAGATCGACCGCCTTCTCGAGATCCGCGAAGAGCTCGAGACTCGGATTGCGAAGGGTGTCGATCCGATCCTCGCGCAGGAAATGGACGAGGACGAGCTGTACCTCGAGAAGCTCGACAATGGCTTGTTCGCGTTGCAGCTGGCGGACTATGTAACGGCGTGGGTGTGCATGGAGGACGACGGGGTGCGTTCGAGCCTTCCTTTCCGCTTCGTCAAGCCTTGTTCTGACTCCACCACCCCACAGGCCCGCGACCACGTTCTCATGCTTCTCTCTCGCCGCGACAAGTCTCTCCGCAACGTGATCGCCGTCCTGAACGAGTATGCGGATAACATCGGCGAGGGAGACCGACCGGAGGACGCAGGTGAGGATGCGGTCCCGACAGAGGGTGAGGAGCGGAAGGCTATCCTGGCGGGGCTGGCGAGGTATCTCGAGAGTATAGAGTGAAAAGCTCAAGACAGTCTCTCATGTCGTTGAGCGCGGCGAGCGGCAGGCGTCTGCCAGAGGCAGAGGCCGGGGTGCTCGAAGATAGCACCGACGGCCGGTGCAGCGAGACGCTGCTCTGAGCGTTCAGAGAGAGGCGGAGCATCAGTTGCTCTCGGAACAAGCCCTTCGAGCGAGGTGAGCGCTGAAGGCGAAGGTAAACGCGGTAAACCCTCGACTTGCTGCTGTGGACCGAAAAGACTGCTTTTTGCACTCGCCAACGTCTGTACTCGAGTGAGCTACACGCGAGAAAGGCCGATACAACGGGACTGCAAGAATAAACAACGAAAGAAACGAAGGAAGCCGGGGTGAAAGACGCCTAGAGACCCGCGTTCACCGAGATGGAGCCGCGCCAGAAGTCGCACTTGGTCTTCTGGCTCGTGCCAAAGTCGGTCAAGCTCGAGGTCTCGACGATACGCGGGTCGGCGGGCGAGAGGGTGTCCCTCGTCGTCGTGTTGAAGAGGAGTTGCTTGCCCGAGTCGAACGTCGGCCAGTAGGGGTTGATCGTCTTGTTGGCGGCGTTGTTGTTCGGGTCGTATGTCTCGATGAAGCCGCCGAGCGCGCCGTCGAAGGACTGGACGGACGAGACCGACTTCTTGCCGTTCCAGATGGAGCCGATGTAGTACGAATTGTCGGTCGCGTGGTGAGCGGGCGCATAGTCGAAGAGACCCTTGTGGGCGGACGAGCCGAAGGCCTCGGCGGTCCAGTAGGTCGGGCAGCTGCGGGCAAGCGGGAAATCAGCGGGACTCTGGAGGAGGACGAGACGCAACGCACACAAAGGTCGAGTCGGCGATGACGGCCGAGATGCGGGAGAAAGTGTTGCCCTTCGACGGCGCCTCGGAGATTGGGTACTGCTTCGCGACGGCTTGGCGCTCGTCGGTGGTGATGTAGGGGAAGAGGCCGGCGAGCAGGTGGTCGAACTGGGAGGCCAGCTGCGTCTGGTCCGTCGTCGTGTCGTTCACAGTCGTGGGGTCCGTGAAGATGTAGCTGAAATTTGCACAGGAAAGCGTCAGTCTCGTGACGCAGGAAGGCGGGACAAGCACTCACCCTTCGTCCAGGTTGTTGATGCCGGTGAAGAGGTTCTGCGAGCCAGTCCGCAGTGTCAGCGAGATCCTGAAGTGCTGAACAGCTCGGCACGCACGCCATTGAGGTTCTTCTTGCCCTTGGCGAGGAGGAGCGACGCGCGCTCAGTCAAGAACGTCCCGTCGACGACGGGGACATACGACCAAAATCCGAACGGGAACGCCGCCGAGTTCTTCACGCCCGCCGCCGCGAGCGCCGCGGCGTCGACAGCTTCGAGACAAGCGAAAGACGAGGCGGCTTTGGTGCAGTTCGTCGCCGTGACGAGTTGGGAGTAGAGGAGTTCGGCGAAGGGGGAGTTGTACTTGGCTTGGTAGGGGAGGAAGACGGAGGAGCCGATGGCGGCGTGGAAGAGGGGCTTCTTGAGACCGAGAGCCTTGACCGTGTTGCCGCCCTGCGAGACGAGAGGGAGGTCAGGGGTGGGGAAACTACGCCAGAAACGGGTCCGGATGCCTCACGTTCGCAATGATCTGGTTCATAACGGACCCTGCGCCTGCAGACTCGCCCCAAATAGAAACAAGATCAGGGTTGCCGCCGAATTTCGAGATGTGCTGCTGAACCCATTGAAGGGCGAATTGCTGCGAGCGGGAGAGGCGTCAGCATGAGTCGAAAGACGGGCGGGACATGCGGAACGGCGTCAGTATGAGTCGAAAGATGGGCGGGACATGCGGAAAGCTCACCTGGTCGAGCAAGCCAGCGTTGGTGACACCGTAGTCCTTCATTGCCTGGCCGGCAAGGAAACCATAAACACCGAGTCGGTACTGCAGAGTCACAACGACCATCTTGGTTCCGGTGTGCTTGATGAAGGCGGCAAAGTCGCTGCCGGTACTCGCGTCGCCAAAGGCGTAGCCACCTCCGTGGATGTAGACGAGAACAGGGAGGTTGGCACCCTCGCACGAGCCGGCGGGCGCAAGGACATCGAGGAAGAGGCAATCCTCCGACGCCTGTTTCTGCGGCGCACTGCTCGAACTGTTGCTAGGCGGGGGCATCCCCTTGGTCGTATTGACGCCCTCGCTGGCAGGCCAACAGATCGGTCCATACTCAGTCGCGTTGCGGACGGCTTTGTGCGTCGCGGGCGTCTGAGGAGCCTGGAAGCGCTGAGCCGAGGCGTAGCGGATTCCGCGCCACCAGTAGAGTCCGGCGGTCTCGTTTAGGTAGCCCTGGTAGCGGGCGTAGCCCAGGTCGACGACGGGCGGGGGCTCGTTAGGGTTCGTGCGGCGAACGAGAGAGGTTGGCGAGGCGAAGGCGAGCTGGATCGTCGCAGCGAAGGAGGCGAGGGTAAAGAGTTTGAGAAGCATGGCGGCAAGTCGGAAAGGCGAGGGGGCAACAGCAAGGAAGAAAGCAAGAAAGCAGGACGAAGGTCGGGTGAATTCTCTGTCTGTCCCCGCTCGGCGGGCGTGAGCGAGCCGCAGGCATCCTGCGGGGACACCACCACGCTCGAGCGGAGTGCTTCATCCGTTCATCCGCGTCGAAAGGAGAGCACGAGCGATCCGACGAGCCCGACGACCTGTCTCGTCCCCGCTCCGTGACGAACGCTCGCTGTGTGTCAGGCAAGGTCGATCGCGCTGCTAGCGCCGTTTGTACTGACTCAGAACAGTGTGCCAAGAGTGTGTGTAGCTGACTTTAGGCTTTGGGCGGAGGCGAGGGAGTGGAGGCGAGGCGAAGAAAGGAGCGTTTCGGAGGAGGGGAAAGCGAGTGGGGACATCACAGAAGCTTCGTCAGCCGATCCGTGCTGTCAGACCGAACGCTCTGTCAGCGCGAGATCACCTGCCGACGGTACGGCCGTGTCGGAGCAAGAAGTAGCGCCGGAGCAGGATCACCCGCGAGACAGGCGACCAGACGCTGAGCTCGCAAGGTGGTCAGCTGCAACGGTGGACGAGCGAAGGCGTCTGGCGGTACTGACAGACCCCCAGTCACTTCCTCCTGCCACTCGCCATCCTTCACCGCCCTTCACGCGCTGTCCGGAGTCGCCGACTGATGAAGAGGAGCGAGTCGTCGAGGAGCAGGACTGGAAGCGCGGGCGGGCGATGCGAGGTCGGCAGAGCTCACTTGCAGTCTCTGCGTAACAGCAGCAATCCAGCAGTACGCAGCAAGAGGCGTGCGAGGTTGAGCGAGAGTTTTTGACGGGGAGAACCCTTCGTCAGCCTACGACGACCACCTCACCCTGCCTGGCTGACCTGCCTGGACTGCTCGGCTGCTTCTCCAGACTCCTTTGCTCGCCGCTGAACCCGCCCCGCCGTCAACCAGTCCCTCCTCCCGTCACCCTCATCCTCATCGCCCGAACCCGCCCCACTTCATCTTTCACCGCCCTACACAGCTCAAGATGCCGTGGGCGTACGCTCTGCCAATCGCACTGGGCGTAGTGACCGTCGTCGCCGTGACCGTCATCCTCGTCGAGGTCGTGCCGGCGTTTCTTGACGACCTCGAGCGGGAGCGCCGAGATCGGGACAGGAGACGCATCGCGGGACAGCGAAGGATGGTAGAAGTGCAAGCGGTGCCGCAGGGAGCTGGGACAGGGATCGAAGCGCAGCAGGGGTTGCACGGATACGAGGTCAGGCAGAGAAAGGGCGCTCCGTCGCAGTCCCACTCGCCAAACGCCCAGGCTGAGCAGGGCGTGAGTTCCGGCTTTCCAGCTCGCCGAATCTCTCTTTGTTGACGCTTCGAACGCTCTGCAGCGCTACGAGATCCGCTCGCCGACTCGCGACTCGCCACAGCACGTCCTCGGCGCCTCCGAGTTCGAAAACGACGACGATGTCCCACTCGCTCAGCTGTCCGGACGCACAACGCCGGCTATTGATGCGTCTGCGCTTCCGGAGGGAGGCAGGATGGTCGAGACGGTGGACAACGCGGGCGTCAAGGCCTCGATTTCCGCCACTCAACCCGCTTCGACTGCCACCGACGCCCCTGAGCTATTAACCGCAGTCGAGGAGACCCTCTTCGTCCCCAACGCTTACAACGACTCTGACGACCCCTTCACCGACGCCCACGCCTCTCCTCTCCTTACCTCCTCCAAGTCCCCCACCCTCGCTCCCTCCAGCCCAACCTGCGACACCGCTCCCCTGCCCGACCTCCTCAGTGCCGAAGAAGCAGGCTGGGTCATCCCCTCCACCTCACCATCTATCGCCGGCGGGAGCGACGAAGATGGGTGGTCGAGGTTGAGCGACGAAGACGAGTTCGAGTCCGTCGCGGAGTCGGCGTCGGGGTCCGGCGCGAGTAGGGCGACCGAGGAGTGGGCAAAGGTGCATGCTCGTGCGGCGGCGTTGTAAGCGGTGGAAGGCGTTTCGAGCGGTCTGTCGGATCTTGCTGTAGCTTACCTTCCCCTCCCCTCCTCTTACCTTGTCGTGCTCTTCTTGTTGCTTGTGTCTTACTCTCGCTCGTTGCAATCCCTTCTCATCTTGTTCGCTCGCGAGAAGACAGCTCTCCTCGTCTCTGTCCCGAGCGACCGGTCGAGCGAGGATGCGACAGGCTGCAAATGCAAGCACGACAGATGAGAAAACAGCGGCGGGGACAACAAGATGGACAGTAACGACAAGGTATGCAGAACGAACGAAAAGGGTATCAACAGCAGGCGAGGCGTCCGCTCCATCAAGCGTCCGCCTTCTCGCCATACACGGTCCCGACACTCAAGCTCCGCCCCGCCGCAACCATCCTCTTCTGCGCTCTCTTCCCCGCCGTCGCGCGACTCTGTACAACCATCACCCACTCAGCCCGCACGTCCTCCGGCGCGACGAGCACAGCGGTGGCTGCTTCGCCCACCGCACGACGGACTTCGCTGCTCGCACAGGCGCCGAGCGTGCCAGCTCTCTCGGCGGACTTGAGGAGCGTCAGAGACTCGAGGCGGTGCGAGGGGGCGTCGAGTCGCGAGCGGCCGAGGAGGGTCAAGGTTGGCTGGGTTGCGGTGAGCGTGCGGAGGCGGGTGACGGCCGTTGCGAGCGGGAAAGCAGTCGAGACGCGTTCGATGACGAGTGCGCCGGTGGGTAGGGTCGACGCAACGGCAGCGACTTGCTCGAGGGCGACATCGTCGGCCGTCGCACTCGCAAGCGCATGCTGCCCGTGCGAACTGCCGTAGTGCGTCTCGCCCGCCCGCGTGCCACCATGATGCGTGCCGCCGTGTCCAAGCGAGAGGTGGTTGTTGTGTGCGGCGGGACTGCTAGGCGGAAGCGACAAGGCGGGCGAGAAGATCGCGTCGAGTTTGGTGGTCGAGGTCGCTTCGGCGCCGTCGGCGTCTTGGCGATCGAGCCCGTTCGCTGCTTGGTCTTCCTCCGTCGGCTCCGCCGCACGCGTGACGACGAGAACCGTCGCGGTGACAGCGCCCGCCGAACGCTTGACGAACTGGACCGCAATCTCGAGGCAAGTCCGATCATCCGCACCACCGAAAAACGGGATGTACAGGTGCTTCGGTGCGTGCGCAATCGAGGCAGCCGAAGGACACGAACGGTCGAGGAGGACGCCGACGTCGCAGGAGGTCTCGAGGAAGACGTCGCGAAGGAAGGCGGCGAAGAGGGGGGCGCCGCTCACTTGTGCCGAGGTCGACGAGCCGGGGACGGCGTTGCCAAACAAGGCCTCGAATGGGTTCGGGACTGCGCAGTGCGAAGGATCAGTCGTGACCTGAGCGGAAGAGAGCAAGCTGCGAACGCACTGAATGACTCGACGACGTTCCCCTCCTCGCGCGGCCCACTCGCACTCCCGAGCTTCCACGGCACGACCAACAATTCTGCCGCCCCTTCCTCCGTACACCTCGCCACCGTCTCGGGCCAATTCTCCGCCGCAGTCATCGCAAACTCGCCTGTTGCGACGTGCACTCCCGACGAGGAGGGGAGCGAGGCGAAGGTGCGGTAAAGTGAAACAAGTGGGTCCCGCGCAAGGTGCGAGGCGGCTTCTTCCGAGGCGAGCATGACACCGCTTCCGCGCTCGGTAAGCTCGACAAGTCGCAGTGGGGTAACTTCGAGCTGCTGCTGCGAAGCGGGAGGAAGGGGAGTCGAAGCGGGAGAAGTCGACCCGGTCGAAACCGTCCCTTCGTGCGCCGGCGCGAGGAGTCCGTCACCGGAAGTCAACGTTTCGCCTCCTTGCGACGACCCGCCCATCTTCGTCGCCTGCCCCATCGGCGCCGGCGCCGACGCAAGCAAATGCGTGAACACCATGGCCGCTCCGAGCGACTCGAGTTGGTCGAGCATGACGATGAACCTCGTGCGCATGCGGAGCGAGAGACTGGACTTGTCGAGCGACGAGCGGGGTTTCGAGTCGAGTGTGGTGGAGATGGCCGGGGTGTGCTTCGTTGAGGGACGGTGGCGGGGTGGGTAGAAGGCGAGCGTGAGCGGGGTCGAGGCGATCGTCAAGACGCTGCGGACGGTCAAGGAAGTCAGCTTGGTTGGGCGTTTCGGTAGAGCAAGGAGTAGCTCATACAGCGCTTCAAGAACCTGCGGAAAAACTCGACGGTCAGCAGTTTGCGAAGGGCGAGAGAAGGCGGACCCGGAGCGGAACGCACAAAGATACTGAACACGGTCGTGCTGATGATCCCGACCTGCACGTGCATTAAGTCAGCCATGATGTTCCTGTACTGATAGAGCGATCAACGCGAACGCACCTGTAACCCCTGGTTCAGCACAATCAACTCAATCAACCCCTTGGCACTCATGAGTGACCCGGTCGCTCCAGCCTGTCTCCACGTGAACCCTGTCGCGCGGGCGGCGATGGCGCTGCCGAGGAACTTGCCGGAGAAGGCGACGACCATTACGCAGATCACCCAGCCCTGCGCACGAGGGCGGCCGTTAGCGAGCGCTGGAGGGAAAGAGGGAGGAGGGAGAGGGAGGACCCACCCAGATCGTGCCGGTATTGAGTAACGTCAGGTTCGTCCTCAACCCCGACGTTGCAAAATACAACGGGATGAAGATGCACACGACAAGGTCTTCAATCCTGCTCGCGAAGTGGTGTCCAAGCGTGCGAGGAACGATCAAGCCGACGAGGAACCCGCCAAAGATTTCCGAAATGCCGATGATTTGGCAGAACCAGGCGGAGATTAGGACGAGAGCGAGGGTCGCGCAGACGTAGCCTTGAGTTGGGCCGTCGGCGCGCGTGTAGGAGCCGGTTGTGCGCGCGAGCCAGTTGAGCGCTGGGCGGGCGAGGAAGAAGAGTGCGAGGGTCCTGTGTGCGCGAACACGATCTTCAGTATTGCAGGTGAGCGAAAGAAACGCAAGGCGACGCACCAGCCGACCATGGTCAGTAGGATGTACACAACCACGACGCCTTGGCCAGCCGAGGCGAGTGCGACCGAGAGCGCCAGCAAGCACCACCCGATGACGTCGTTGACGACGCCCGAGGCGAGGACGACGAGTCCGACTGGGTCGGTGAAGAGCTGCAGTTCGGAGAGGATGCGGCTCAGGACGGGGAAGGCGGTGATGGATGAGCTTGTGCCGATGAAGGTCACTGTGGGCGTAAGTTCAGACGGAGAAGATTGGAGGGAAAGGAGCAGGAGGAGAGAAAGAGTCGGGCAGAGGCGAGGAGGGCGAAGATTGAGGGAGGCAACGACTTCGGGTCAGCCAGCCGACTCACTGCCGAAGGACGACGCCGCGACGCACTGAAAGTCGTGAACTTGACGTCCTTGCTGATGAACTCGTTGTACAAGCCGACGCTGACGGCGCACCCAAGTCCAAACGGAATGACCAGTCCCGCGGCCGACACCGCAACCGTCGGCTTCAAATTCCTCCTCAACAGGGAGAAGTCGACGTCCGTTCCGATGACGAACAAGAAGAGAACCAATCCGAGATTGGCGATGAGCGAGAGGAACGGGATCGAGGGGGCTGGGAAGATGTTTTCTGTGAAGCCGGGGATTTGGCCGAAGGCGGTTGGGCCGAGGAGGATGCCGGCGAGGATTTCGCTCACCACGCGGGGCTGGCGGGCCCAGCGGAATGCGAGCGCGAGGATGCGGGAGAGGGCGAGGATCAGGACCAGTTGGACGATGACGAGAACGAGCGGGCTGCGGGCGCGTACATACTTCGTCAGCACTGCTATGACAGCTCACTGAGCGCCTTGACGCACTTGCTCGTGTCGAAACGAATGGGGTTGATATCATGTCCTCCGCTGAGAATCGTCGTCTCGTGTCCTCCTCCGCCCGTGGGCTGGCTGACGCTGCTCGACCAGACCTGCCCAGCCGTCGCCGTCGCCGTGAAAGTGACGAGCGCCGCCACCGTGCCCGTCGATGCGGCCATCGTTCGGCTGGAATGCCAAGCGGGGGTGCGAGCGAGTGTGCGGGCGTCAGGCGATGGGCCGAGTCGTGGCGAGTACGGGTGGGTCAGGCAGTCGTTTTGAGCAGTCTATCGGGGTTGTTGGTCCGTCCAGCGATGTGTGAGTGCGAGGTTGAGTGAGGAGAGTCGTGCACCGCCCGAACGTCTCTCTTGGGCTCCTCGACGCCGCTCACACCGCGTACAAGCCGCAGGGGGACTTGCTGGTGGCTCGAAGCCTCCGGAGGGATACTGCTCGACCGACCGACGCGCTCAGCGCAACCCGCCAACCCGTCTTCTCGCCGCTCTCACCCTCTCGCCATTCTCATCAGCTTGCGATGTCAACTCAGCGACAACGGCATCTCGAGGGCGACCAGGCGCGTCAAAGGGACGAGAATGGACTGATACCGCGGATGGCGACTCAGAAGCGGGACAGACGACGGGCAGAGTGCATGGGCATCCTCGACTTCCTCCGTGAACCCGCCAGATCCCGTAGCAGCTCGTCTCGCGCACCTCGGACAAAGTGAAGTCGTACAAAGACTACATAACGTGTCACGAAACGAGCGAGAAACGAGAGAAGAATGTCTACGAGAGCGCCCCACCGCTCGAACTCTACATCTGCAGCTGCACCAGCTCCGCCACGAGCTTGTCGACCGCCGACCCCCGATCCTCCTGCCTACACATCTCGACCAAACTCAACAACTTCTTCACACCAATAGAGAAGCTCCTCCCTTGTCCCGGTGCTTCCTCGCCGTCGCCGAACCCTGCTTGGCGGAGGAGGTTGATCGCGCGCTGTTGTTCCGCCTTGTTCGACTCGCCGAAGAGGCCGACGTCTTCCAGCACCCGCACAAGCTGCGAGAGCGTCGTGACGGCCGGCACGCGGAGGGTCGTCGCGAACGCGTCCATCGCGTCCATCTCGGCGAGCATCGAGCGGTTCGAGGTAGTCGAGAGGATGAGGAGGCGGCGATCCTTGGGCGGTCGTTTCGAGAGGAGGACGAGCAAGGCTTGGAGGACCGAGTTGCTGAACCTCGGACCGATCGGGACCCAGTCCAAGATCCGCTCGAGTCCGTCAACGACGATCACGCTCAGAGGGCTCTTGTACGAGTCGGAGAAGACCTTGTACAAGTGCGCGACCTTCTGCGACTCGGTGAAGCCGACCATGTTTTCGGCACTGATGAGCTTGATGAAGGGGAACTCGGACGCAAGAGCGATTGTTGCGGCAAGGGCGGTCTTGCCGGACCCGGGCGGACCGTGCAGCAGGACCGAGACGAGAGGCGTGCGCTGCGACGTCCGAACCTGGTCGACGAACAGCTTGCCGTCGCGGAGGATGCTCTGCGGGCGATCGTGTCAGTAGGCGCTTCATGGCGAACGAGAGAAACGCCGACTCACGTGCACATGCTCGTCAAAGTGGATGATCCCGTTCTGCACGACCGCCTGCAACTCCTCCTCATTGACACCAAACGCCGGCTGGACCTCGTCGAGCGCATTCATAAAGTCCTCCCGAACGACCTGCATCTGGTCGATGTCGTCCGACAGAGCCGCAAGCGTCCCAACCTTGACGTGTCGGTTGAACGCAAACGAAGTAGCGCTCTTGACGAGTCCACCGATCTCGGCGCCCGAGAAGTTCTTCGTGAGCGAGGCGAGCTCGAGAAGGTCCACGTCCCGACCCATCACGCCGTTCTGCCGCATCTTGGCCGTGTGGATCGTGAGGATCTGTACTCGACCTTGCTCGTCGGGAAGGGAGATCTCGATGTGAACTTCGAGGCGACCGGGTCGGAGGAGCGCCTCGTCGATCATGTCCATCCGGTTCGTCATGCCGATCAGGAGGATGTTGTTCAGCTGGTCGACGCCGTCCATCTGCACGTCAACGCGGACGAAAAGAGTCAGTCGGCGTCGTCAGAGCCGGGCGTCCTCGACCACTTCGCGCCGAACGCACCTTCGAAAGCAGCTGGTTGACGACCGAGTCGCCGACGCCAGTCCCGTTGTTCGTCGAGCCACGCTGCTTGCAGATAGCGTCGAGCTCGTCAAAAATGATGATGTGCAGGCCGGACTCGTCACCCTTCTCCTTGTACTGCGAGCGCAGACGAACGAGCCTGTCAGTCCGTTTCCTCGCCTTGACTCACAACTGCACCGAGCGAGGAGCGCCCCCGCCGGACACAGCAACAACACGAAGCGGTACCGGACTCACCTCCTTTTCGGCATCCGCAAAAAGCTTCCTAACATTCTCCTCGCTCTGCCCGACAAACTTGTTCAAGATCTCGGGACCGTTGACGACCTTGGGTTCGCGCGCGTTGAGCATCTTGCCGATTTGGCGCGCCATGAGCGTCTTGCCTGTACCGGGAGGGCCGTAGAGGAGGATACCTGCGGGCCAGGGAGGCGTGAAAGTGTTCAGTGCATGGTTCGTCTCTTGCAGCGTTATCGACGACATAGCGGCCGCCGCAACGCGATAGCTGGGAGGACCACCGCCAACGCACCCTTGACATGCTGGATGCCCAGTTTCTCGACCAACCCAGGCGGGAAGATCCGACTGGCGAACGCGCGACGAAAGATGGCCGAAAACTCGGTGTCGAGGCCTCCAATACCCATGTCTTCGAACTTGAAATTCGGAGCGAGGATGGCATTCGGCGGGGCTCTGCTCGGGGAAGAGGTGAGCGGTTGAAGCAAGAGGGAGAGCGTGGAGAGACGCACTTCTTCGCGCTAGACTTGATCTTGATTGCACTCGCCGGGTCCTTGACAAAGTTGACCTCCGTCTGGCTCGTCAAGATCCCCGTCCGTCCATGTCCACCCGCTCCCTTGCCCTCAAGGGAGAGACACTGCACGCCCTTGACTGTCGCGCGGAGGTTCTGTCCATGGAAGTCGAAGACGAGCGGTTGGCCGACCGTGACGATCAGGCCGTCGTATGCGCGGCGGAAGACGTCTTGAAGTTCGTCGGCGGAGTAGGCGGTCGGTTGCGCGTTCTTCTCGAACCAGTAGCCGACCTGTGCATCGCGAGTCCCCAGACCCCGAGCGAGTCAGCTCCACATTCGCGAAGATGACTAGGCGAGATGCACGACGCAAACGCACCTCCAGATCCAATGCCGCAAGATACACGTCGCTCCCCAACTGACCTGGCTCGAACGGCTCGACATCGACGACGTCGCCCGACTGGCTCAGGCCGGCGAATTGGCGGACGAGGCGGGCTGCGCCGATTGCGCCGCGAGGGATGGAGGGGTCGAACCTGTTTCGCGGGAGAAGGGAAGGGCGTCAGTCGGTGTGACTCTGAGAACGAGTCGGTTGATAGGTTCGCGAGCCCTGCTGGCCGCTGGCGTCGGAGTGTGGAGATCTGGCAAGGACCGAAGCTGATGCCTTGGGACCGTGACGCCGTCTCAGCAGAATGACATCCGGAAGAGAACAGGTTCGGCTGAGCAAGCCCTCGCTCGACGACTCCGCCAAGTGGTCTGCACCACGGAGCTTCTCTCCGCCTGCCTGTCGCAAGCCAGCGCGCCCACCCGTCGCCAACGACTCGAACGCCGAGGAGGCACCGCCACCACGAACACCCTCGACAGCGAGCGAGACTCACATGGTGGCATAGACAAACTGGCCCTTGATGACGACATAGGGAACGCCATTCCAGTCCTGCTCGTTCAGGACGACGCGGTTGGCGAGCGCATGAGACGGCGAGGGAGCCTCGACGACGGCGAACCTGCCTCCCCTCGCCGCCCCGCCGCCGCCGTACGAAGGTGGCTGAGGCCGAGAGACAGACACGGGCTTCTCGCGCTGACTCGAAGCGTACGGGTCGCGCTGAGGAGGCGGAGGGGGATTGTGCTGGAACGAGGTGGGGAGGTGGTGTCGGGTGGGCTGCTGAGCGGGCGGGAGGGGCGAGTATCCGCGCTGCGGTTGTTGCTGGGGTGGCTGGTCGCCTGTGCGTGAGAACCAGCTCATCCTGGGCGTGTGAGCGTGCAGCGAGTGAATGGGAGAGGACGAACGACGACGACGAGGGTTGCCAGCGGACTTGTCGCTGTTTCGAGTGCTAGACTGGGCTTCGAGGGGTTCCACACCGTGCTAGGACTGCTCTACACCCGCTCACACCCGCCAGGACTCGCCGCGTTGTCCTCTCGCATCCTCATCACCTCCTCGACCTCATCACTTCAAGTCGACTCCTCTCACACCCTCAGTCCAGCCTGCAACTCGCAGTGCACTCTTGCAAACGATGGACGACCTCGTCCCGACCCTTGCAGACGCGATCCCGACGTCGAACGGGTCGAGCATTGCAGCGCCCATCCTCGAGGAACTGGGGAACGAGGTCGACCTCGCGACGTGCAGGCTGCTGGGACCGTTTGCGCTTGTCATACAGGTGCGTTGGCATCAGAGCCTCTGCGGCAATCGACGGACGAAGGTCCAACCGCATCCGCATTTTTGTCTTCTTCCTGCGCGTCCATAGCTAATCCAGACACTCGCTTCCCCAGGGCATCATGGGCGCCGTCGTGATCCTCTCCCTCGTCGCGAAACGAATGCGCGAGAAACCGCGGCGGAAATGGAAGATCTGGCTGGGAGACGTCTCGAAGCAAGTTGTCGGCCAGGCGTTCGTCCACTCCGCCAACATCGCCATTAGCGACCTGATCGCCCTGCACACATCCGACAATCCCTGCTCGTTGTACGCACTCAACATCCTCGTCGACACGACCCTCGGCGTCCTGATTCTCTACTACCTCCTCCGCCTCTCGACGCACCTAATGCACACGACCTTCAACCAACCAGCCTACCAAACTGGTTTCTACGGCTCGCCATTCTCCCTCTCCCTGTGGGGCGAGCAAGCAGCGATCTACGTCGCCTGCCTCACGGCGATGAAGATCGTCGTGCTCGTCCTCTTCTGGGCCTTCCCCGTCCTCGAGGACGTGATGAGCTGGATGCTCGGGTGGGTGACGGACGACGAAGCCCAAGTGTTCATCGTCATGCTCGTCCTACCCCTCGTGATGAACTTGTTCCAGTTCCTCATGGTCGACTCGATCCTCAAGAGCAAGGATGGCGCGGGGTCGGATGCGTTTGATGCGCGATTGGAGGAGACGGACGAGGAGGCGCTTCGGAGGGGGTTCCTCGACTCGCATGACGACGAGGACGAGGAGTCGGACCACGAGGGTGCGGGAGGACGAACAGGGGCGGGGTACAGCGACCAGAGTCCGAAGATTGGGCGAGGCGGCATGCAGACGAACGGGCGGCCGGACGCAGGCGCGACAGGCGGCTCGGAGCGGGCTTTGCTCGACGAGGAGGAAGAAACGGGTCACGGCACGAACGGCGAATTCTTCGCCCTCTCGATGCCAGCCCAACACGCGTACCCTCCCGCCGCACGACCACCCTCATCCTCGACCGCTTCCACCACTCTCCCTCCTTATTCTGCCCACCCCGCTCCACCCGCCTCTACCGTCCGACAAAGCGTCGACGAGGAAGACGACTGGTCCGCGGACTGGGACCAAGCTTCCGCCTCAGACACTGCTTCGAACGCTGGCGAACGGAGGGGAGAATCAATCCCGCTCGAGCCGGTCAAGCCCGCCGCTGTGCCTCGGCCGCTCGACTCGATCCCGCCGCAGCCTGTGCGAACGGGTCATGCGCGGATGGTGAGCGAGGATGTGGGAGGAGCGGACGAGTGGGGCTTTGATGCGGATGCGCATGAGGTGGAGGAAGAGGAGGCAAATGCGCCGGGCGAGGCGACGCCCCCTGTTCCGTCGACGCCGACACCGCGACAATCCCGTCCGCCATCGGCACAACCCTCCCTTGTCTTCACTTCCAAGCCCTCGGCACCTGAAGCTGCAGCGCATGACGAAGCAGACGACTGGGGAATCGACGAGGACGCGCACGTCGAGCCTGGACCCTCGCTTCCCGCTGCGCCTCCACCTCCCGCACCTGAACGCTCGCCTTCTCCTCCCCTTCCATCTCCCATTGCCACTTCTCGCCCTTCTCCGCCGCCTCTCGCTCCCATTCCCGAAACTCCAGCATCCCCTCCCCCTCCACCACCTTCAGCACAAGCGCCACCCGCACAGCTCAACGAGACGCCTCGACAAAGCATTGACGGCGGAGACGATTGGGGCTTCGACGCGGATGCAGCACACTCCGAACCCGACTTGGTGGCGAGCGACGCGTCGGCGCCGAAGGAGGAGGAGGAACGGATACCGCAATCTCAGCCTGAGCCCCAGCCTCAACCTCAGCCTCAGCCTCACTCCAACGGGCAAGCCGGCGAGCACGAGGAGGAAGAAGACGACTGGGGCTTTGACGGGCTTGGGTCGCCTCCTCCTCCGATACACGAGGTGTCGCACGCGCAGTCGACTTCGATCTCCTCCGCTTTCGAGCGGGAAGATGTCAAGCCGGTTCCATTGACCGAGGCGCCACCGCCATCAGTAGTCGAGGAGGCGGTTGATGTCGAGCGAAGCCCAGCAGCGCCGGAGAATGCGGGAGGTGACGAGGAAGACGACGACTGGGGCTTCGACGACTCCCCCTCACTCACCATATCCTCTCTTGACCCGAACGTCAAGGACGTCGTTGCTGAGCTGGAGGCGCGAAAGAAGGGTACGGGTGGGCGGGAAGCGGAGGAGGTGGGAGAGAGTCTTATCTAGACAAAGTGACGCTATCGAGGCTAGTGTTGTGAACGGCATTTTACAGACCATGCGAGCGAGCGAGCGAGAGTATTCCTACAACAAGAGATCCCACGGAGCAGCAGAACGATGCACGAGCCTTCCTTACTCCCAATCGCTATCCTCGTCCTCCTCCTCCTCCTTCTTGACCGCCGCAGCCTCCTTCGCCGCCTCATCCCCACTCGGATTCCCACTCTTCGCACTAACCATATCGTAGCTACTTGTCCCGTCGCTACTCGCGCGCGGGCTGGGCTCCGCAACGGCTGGGGAGTCGTGTACGGCTGGAGTCTGACCGGTCGAAGCGACGGGAGCGGCGGTTTCGGGCGTCGCAGAGGAGGTTGCAGCGACGGCGGTGAGAGAGGCGGGTTGAGCGGCGACGGGAGCGGGGCTGTTTGATGGAAGGCGAGGAGAGGCGGCGGACGAGGCGGTCTCTTCGTCATCCATGTCCCAGCTGAAGTCGTCTTCGCTCTGCTCGGCAACTGCAAGAGAGACGAGAGTAAGTCAGTTTCGGAACACTCTGGTTCTAGCTGTCCACAGCTGATACGACAGCTTGGGCGGAGCAGCGAGACGAGCCGGAGCGACTCACCCTGCAACACCTTCTTCCTCCTCTCCTCCTCCTCCTCAATCCTCGCCTTCCTAAAGAAATACCTCGTCCAGAATGCCTCCTCGCTCAACTGGGCAGGCACGACCTCGTCGAGCGTCTTGCGCAAAGGCTCGCCGGCTTCTTGCAGTTCGGCACCGACTTGCGAGCGGAAAGAGGGCGAGTCGAAGCCGCCTGATGAGGCGAGGGCGGAGAGGTACGAGGCGAAGGGTTCGCGGAGGTCGGGGGTTGTCGAGTCCGCAGGAGGTTGGGCGGGGTCGAGGACGAAGACGGCGGGGTCGGTGCGCAGCTTGTACAGCAGCAAGTCGCGGCGGTTCATCGCCGCGCCCTCAAGCGACGTCCGTCCCGTCGCCGCTGCACCCGCGCCACCCGCCGTCGTAGGCGGCACGACCTTGACCGCATCCTTTGCCAACTTCCCGACCTCGGCCGAAAACTCCTGAAACCACGCCTCGCCTTTGTGCAAGTACCCCTCCGCAACTTTCTGACCCTCGGCGAGGTCGATGTGCGAGAGCTGCGACTGGATTTGGTGCAAGTTGGTCGAGAGGTTGGACTGGAGCGACGAGAGGTTGCGCGAGAGGTCTTTGACGTTTGGGTTCGAGGCGAGCGAGGAACCGAATTTGGCCATCCAGGCGGAGGCGGCGGCTGCGGGAGTCTGCTGGTGCTGTGCGTCGCCCTCGGTTGTATCAGCCTCACCTTCACCCTCCCGATCGACGCCCTTGCCCTTGTCGACCTTGCTCTGCGCGGCAGGAACCTCATCCAAGATAACCGGGACGCCATCCGCACCAATCACCACCCCAGAACCGCCCGTCGGCGCCGGCACCTCCGAGAGACGCTGCAGCTCTGCGCGCGTCTGTTCAGAGAGGTGGTCGAGTTGCGAGCGGGCTTGGGTGAGGAGCGGAGTAAAGTCGGCGCGGGCGGCTTCGTATTGCTTCTCGGCGGTCTGGAGCGCGGCGGTGCCCTGCGAGAGGGAGCGGGAAGTGTCAGCCTGGCGTAAACTCGCCGACTGCATGAAGCGCAGTTTGGGCAGCTGCTTCAGCCGTCCTCGTCGCGCATTCCCGGCGCTCCACACAGCCTCACCACGTCCATCGTCGAGTGCCCGGTAGAAAGGACCGCCCGGACGCACCTGCTTCTTCACCCGCCCCCAGAAGCTCCCGAACCCCGCCATCACGCTCGCAACCTCCTTCTCCAGTCCCTGCGCCGCCGTCAACGCCTGCCGCGTAGGTGACTCTGGCTCAGGTTGGGCGGGAGTGGGCGTCGAGGTCCGGGATGGAGTCGAGATGGGCGTTGTTGCGAAGCCGCCGAGCGATCTGCGCGATGTGCGGGTGAGTACGACATGAAGTGAAGCGTGTGGGAAGTTGTGACGCACTCCATGGCTGTCCGCGAGTCGTTGATACGCGGTGAGAGCGAGGCGAGGTTCGATGAACTGATGAAGCGGGAGGGAGGCTCGAGAGGTCGTGCAGGCGCGTCGGCGAACTCGCGAGCGGTGGTTGTCGATGGCAGAGTACTCTGTAAACCTGTGCGAGCAGCAGCAGCGCGTCCTGACGAAGCGGGTCAAGCGCGCGAGGTGGTGCCTCGTCTCCCTCCCGAGGGCTGGTCGCTGTCAGACTCGCTCTCACACTCGCCAGGCAGGGGTATGCACAACTTCCGGGGCTTTTTGCATGGCTTGGAGGAGAACGGAGGCGATCGAATAACTACCAAGAGAAAGGAGAACGGACCAGGACGGGGTCGTTTAGTCTGCGGGCGACGGGGCGTCAGCGAGTGCACAGAGCGAGAAGAGCGCACGGGAACGCACGGTCGGTGAGCTTGAGGTGGCCCGAGACCAGCTTGTTCTCGAGCGTGGTGCCGTCGGGCAACTCGATCCGCTGGCCGTCGTTGGCGACGCTGCGGGGCGTGTCCAATCGTCAGTGGACAGGGTGCGAGTGGAACGGATGATCTGCGACGCACATGATGACCGTGCCACGGAGAGTGACCGCCCGGCCGAAGCTGACGTCTCCAGCGACCTGCGAACGACCAGAAGGTAAGCGTCTTCGTCTTCGTGCAGCCTCGCAGGCTCGAACAGCTGCGTTCGAGCGATCCGGCAATAGTAGCGAAGAGGCAGAAGCGCACGGTAAGGTGGTCGAGCTCGAGAAGCGAAGGGATAGTCTTGAAGCGCTTCTGGAACGCCGAGACCTGTTCCTCCCCAATACTCCCGTCAGCCCCTCGACGCTAGAAAAGGGCCATCCTCGCTTGCGCACCTTCTTGAAGTGGTCACCGAGCTTGACAACCGGCGTAGACTGGAACATCCTGCTCGGGTTCATCCGGAGCTGACCGTGCTCGAGCTGGTACAAGTCCGAGGTGATGAGGAGCAAGTCGGAGCACGACTTGACGGGCAGGAAACGCGAGCGGGGGACGTTGATTCCGTGTGCGTTGTTGAAGTCTGTGCGCGGCGATGATTAGCGAGGATGGGCAGGAAAGGGAGAGTGGGACGAACGCTTGATGGCGGCTCCGACGGCGGTCTCGAGCTGGATGACTGCCTCGCCCTTGTCGCTCTGCTTGCTGTGAGCGTGCGACGAGGGCATCAGCAACCGCTTGGAGCGTGTCTCCGCAGGGGCGGCCGGCAAGAGTTGCCCAACCGGCTCAGAGTCCGACTGCAAACGGGCGAAAACGTACTGGTTGACGATGATCTCGAGGTCCATGCCGTCGTTCTCCATGATGCGCTTGATCGCGCGGAGGTTGATCCACAAGTTGTTGGTGTCTGTGTACGCGGAGTGGGGCAGTCAGTCTCGGGGTCCGTCGGCGGGAAGCAACTCGAGCGCATTCCTCGCCACAAGCAGGGCGAGCGAAGCGCAGGCACCGCAGCGACCGGACAAAACGGAGGAAGAGCGCAAAAACGTACTGAAGATCTTGAACTTGCGAACCGACTTGAAGTCCTCGACATGATCGTTCGGGACCTGCGCAATCTCCAACAGCCTGACGTTCCCCTCATAGTTGATGAGCGTTCCACCCTTGACGTCGGCCTTGGTCTTGTCCGTCACCTCCATGAGGAACTCGGCGCCTGACGCGTGCATGTGCTCGAGGATGCGCGTGTCGACGACCGCTCCGAGGTTGTCGACGTTCGAGACGAAGAGGTATTCTTTGCCCGAGGCCAGGAGCTTGTCGACCAGGCCAGAGTTCATGATCGCGTCGAACAGGTCGCCGTGGCCGGGAGGGTACCTGCGAAGTGCGGAGCGTCAGCGACGCTCGCCACCTGCTGACCAGCTACGACCCTCGAGCGAGAGATCGCCTCGCACTCGAAGCGGGAAGGACCTCGCGCGCGGACTCACCAAGCACCCTTGTCCTCAACCGCCGACTTGGGCGTCGGCAACAGCGTCTCCTTGTTGACGCGCGGGTAACGCGACTGGTTGAACGTCATGAGCTCGATCCGGTGGTTCGCGTACTTCTGGATGATGCGAGCCGTGTCGTCGTCCGTGTTGAACGAGTTCATCAGGATGAAGGGAACGTTGACGTTGTGCGCTGAGTTGAGGTGCTGCGGGCGAGCGAAGTGAGGCGGGGTTAGCGTAGACGCTCCTATTCGATTATCGGCCGGCCCCTCGCAAGCGGGGACGAAGGAGAGTCATAGAATCGCGCGACGCACCTCAATCTGCCTGACACTCAAATCAAGGAACGTCATCCCCTCCCTAACCTCGATGATACTCTTCGGTCCAACACATCCCATCGTCGTTCCCAATCCGCCGTTGAGCTTGAGGACCGCGAGCTTGTTGAGCAATTCGCCTTTGTTGGTCGACTCGGGCAGGTCAGAGTAGGGGACTACTTGTTCCGGCGAGGGAGGTTGGATCTTGTCCCAGTCGCTGCGGTGTGCGAGAGACGTTTAGCACGAGATTTTGGAGTACGAGGGGAGGCGATGAACGCACATCTTCTGGCCCTTGGCGCGCTCAGCGAGGTAGCGGTTGAACAGAATAAAGAAGCTCTGCATCTCCGCCTCGAAAGCCTGTGCGACGCCGTGGCGTTTCCCGAGATCAGTCCCGCGACTCAAGCGATTCAACCAGGGACGGAAAGAGGGCAGGACGCCCGCGACGCACCTTCTTAAAGTCCGGGTCGTCGATACCCTGGATCATGGCGTTGAGCTCGTTGCGCATCGCTTTCGCCGAGACGCCGGTAGCGGCGGACTTGAAGTCCTGTTTGCGCACGAAGAGAGAGGGGTAAGAGGTCAGCGGAAGGTCAGGAGAGTGATGTAGGATGGGCGCAAGCGGGCGGCCGGAGAGCGGGGCGTCTCGTCGTCGTGTTGGCAAGCCTAGAGAACGAGGAAGCTGCGCCCGCGCGTCCACCTCCTCCTCCTCCTCCTCATCCCTGAAACCCCGTCCTTCACGCCCGCCTTCCTCCGATTCCTCCGCCGACATCTCACCGCCTCAAACCCGTCCCAAGAAGTCGTCCGAGCGCCCCCGCCGTCAAAATCCAGCTCGAATCCATCCGCCAAACCCTCTTCTCCGGCCCCTGCGCCTTCCTTCGCTCGAACCCTCCCTCCAGCGCTCGCGAAAGGCCGACCAGCTCCTCCGTCCAGTGCGTAATGCGTTTCGTCGACCCGTTGCGGTCGAGCGACCGAGGCGACGCAGCTCCGTTCACCCCGCGAGCAAGGTGTGAGCCCCCACACTTTCGCCCGTCGTCCTCGCTCGTCCTCGCCCTCCAAGCCCCTCCCCGACATCGCGCCAAGATCCGTCTTGTCAAGCGAACCGTGCGAAAGCTCCTTCAGAGCACGAGAGTATATAGAACCGAGGGAAGAGCGGAAAAGACTCCACGTTCGTCCAACGATGAGAACGCCTCCTCCTCGTCCGCTCTCCTTCCAAGCCGCCCAACTCCAGCCGCTCCACCTGCACGTTCCACCCGACCGTCGCAGCGCCCACGCGAGAAGAGGAATAGAGTGGGTTGGTTGGAAGGGTGGACGCACCATGGCTGTCTGTCCCCTCGCGCGCTTCGAAGCTGTGCCGGTCTGTGCGGCGGGGGCGGTGGTGGTGTCGAGGCTGGCCATCTCGTTCTCTATCTAGCTGGATGGTGAGGTTGAGAGAGAGGGAGAGGAAGGGTCAAGGGGTGACGTGAGGGTGGGGTTGGGACTCGCCCGTCTCAGGTTTTCTGGGCGAGCAGGTGGGACGACCACGACGAGAATCCAGCTTACAGGACAGCGTGCTACAGCAGGACAGGGTAGAACGGAGAACTTCCGCAAGGTTGCGGACGACGAACGAGAAAGTGCGAAAAAATGTGCAGGTTACAAGAACGAGTCTGAGTGGTACAGCGCCTGTGTACACCTTCCCTCCACCTCCACGTTCGCGCGAGACGACCCTACCGTCCGCGCCCGTTCTCCCTCTCCCACTCGCGCTCGATCAAGCGCTTAAAGTCCCCGACTTCGTGGCCTGACGGACAGCGTTGCCAGGTCGAGTCGTGGATGCTGCGAAGGGGCATCGAGGTGCGGACGAAAGCAGGCAAGCGGCGATGGAAGGGAATCAGAGAGGGAAGTTGGCGCGAGCGAGGTGGAAATGGCACGAGGAATCGTCAGCGCGTCGTTCTCGTTCTTCTGACGAGCCCCTCCATAAGTGTCCGAGGAGGCGTGGAACGCACCAAACCACCTCTCCCCTCACCAAAATCGAACAACTCTTCTCCACCCGCAACTTGCTCAACCTCTTCGCGCTCTGGCGGGCTAGCTTCCTCCCTTCTTCTCCCTCGACGCATTGTTGTAGTTGCTTCGTCCAGTCTGCGCCAGATGTAGGAGTTAGGGAGAGAGGAAGGGAGGAGGAGCGAAGGGCGAACGTACCCCGCCCAATCAACCTCCCACACTCCCTCGCCGCCCGCTCATTCCCCACTCTCGCGTTTGGGTCATAGTTCAAGCACTGGATGAACTGTGCGCGCGTGCGAGTACGTCAAGGCTGAGTTCAGTTAGGGTGACCGAGAGGGGGGAAAGGACGCACCTCCCAAGCACTTTCAGCGCCCCAGTACCTCTCCGCACACAATTGCTGAACGTTTCCCCTGCATTCGCGGTCGCCATGTTTGCAGGTCGTGCCGTACGGCGCTGAGGAGTTTCGGCTGCCCTCACTCGACACGCTTCATCAGCCGACCGGCAAGAAGGGAAGAAGGGAAGGGACGCACGAAGCGATAAACTCGACTCTCAGATCAACCAACTCGCCAACCCTCACTTTCCCTCCTCCTCCCCTTTCCCCTCCTGCTTCGCGGACGGCGACGCTAGTAGTTTGCTCAAACACCCTATCCATCACGCTTTCGCACAACCTCGCATCGGGACAGAGGGACATTACTCCTAATGTCAGAGGGAGGCGGGTTGCGTTTTGTAGGTCGAGAGGTGGAGGGGAGGAAAGGGAGGAGGAGGGGAGGAAGGGGTGTTGCGCAGGGTCGAGCGGGATGGCGAAGGCGAGAGCGGTGCTTAGGAGGAGCAGGGAGGTGGACAGCATTGTCGTTAGGCCCTCTGAGGCGGGTGTGAAGGGTGGATGAGTGGTGAGCGATGAGGATCGCGAGCGGGTGAACAGACGGCGAAGGCAAGTCAGGACGGTTCGGGGTAGCCTGTGTAGCCCTATCTAACCCTCTTGAGATGTAGCAAATCCTCTCGAGCAGCACGAGCGAGCAAGCAGAGTGGTTCAGGACGAAGCGCCACTTGGCTCTTCGCCGAACGTCGGTGTGCATGCAGTCAGCGTGCGCGGATGGATGGATACGTCGTGCAACGTTGCAGACATGAGAGCACGGTAATTCCTACTGCGAGGACATGGCAGGACGGAGGAAGGGACGAGGAAGCGGTTTAGAGCCGCTTGTTCATGAAGGCGCGTTTCTGCGGCGAGCGAGCGAGGGTCAGTCAGGATGATGGACCGTCTCCGCCAGCTGTGGGTCGCGAGCGAAGAGGAGGACACCCGGTCCGGCTGAGGAGGCCGTCATTGCGCTCGTCATCTGAGCGCAGCGACCGGCCGCACCGGCGCACAGGCTCCTCCTCCTGCTTGAACCAGCATCGCAGCGCCTCCACCTCGTAATAAGCGACACGCAAACTCACCGAGAACGCCATCCACCACTTGCTCGGCCGCTTCCCACCCTCCGTGCTCTCGTCCGCCGCGCTATACACATGCCTCTCCAACAACCTCACGACCGTCTCCTGCCTCGCCTGCACCAACCAACTCCGCAGCGCGTCTTTCTCGACGGGCGTAGGAGGAGAGGGCGGGGTGAAGACTTGGTTCAAGGGGAAACCGGGTTCGCCTGGGAGCGAGAAGTGGGAGAGCGAGTGGGTCGTGAGTTGCTTGAGGGCGTCTTGGTGCGTCCAGGTTCGGGCTGCGTGGAGTGTGGACAGGTGTGAGTCAGTTGCACGAGTGAGGGCGGTGGTAGCAGGGTGACGAGTCAGCTCCGCGGAAACGAAGCGAGCCTGCCGCCCAAGCCAATTCGCGACTCCCGTGCTGCCGCGTGTAACTCACCCTGTGCGATCCGTCCCAAGCAGTCCCCAATGAACAAGATGAGGTAGATTAACGCCCTGTCGGCAGGCGTCTTGATCTCAAAGTTGCGGAAGAGCGAGTTGGCGCGGAAGAGCTGGAGGGACTCGTCGATTATGTCCGGGATGGAAGGGTCGGCTGCCGGAGTATATGGTGAGTGCGAGGGAGTAGGGATGGTGCGAGGTGCGTCGGGCGTGGAGGGGACGAGGGGAGCGAAGGTGCGAGGATGACGAGGGGGAGACGAGCGGGTGTCAGCGAGTCGTTCCAAGCCGTGCGAAGGTCTGCGTCTCCTCCGTAGACAGTCACGCTACTCCCTCCAGCAGCACGCGCACCTCCCCTGCGCGATCCCAGCCCGCAGACTCCTCATCACCTCCAACTGTGTGGGGGTCTCACCCTCCCTCCCCTCCTGCCCTCGAGGCGCCAATCCAGTCCCACACACGACTCACCAGGCTGAGCCGCAGGGCCCCTGATCGAGCTACGGAACGGCAAGAGGGGAAAGTTGCCGACGAGGCGTGCGCCGTCGAGGTCGGCGGCCGAGGCGTTGTAGGCCTGCGAGAAGGGCGCGGGAGCGGTGCGAAGAGTCTCAGTCACGGTGTCCAGAGTGAAAAGGGATGGCTGGACCGCGCACGGGCATCGCTTGAGAGAATGGGCGGGGAGAGGACGAACAACCCTTGGGTGACGAGCAGGACGAGGGTTGGAGACGAACATCTCGCTCACGTCGCTGAGGCTGGCTCGACGATGCCGCCAGTACTTCGTACGAGTGCTCTTCAGTCGGCTGACCTTGCTGGCAAACCGCCCAACGACGCCGCCGCCTCAAACGAGACCCTTGCGACTGCTCCTCCCTCTCCTCCACCCTCTTCTCCGCCAACCGTTTCGAACAGGCGCAGCCATGGCTGGTGTGGAACATGTTTCAGGGCTCCAGGCCTACGGAGGCGGAAGAAGCTGAAGGGGGAGGTTGACGCAGGCGACGATGCGCAGACGCTCGCGGAAGAGACAGTCTTGAGGCGAGATGCTGAGCGAGTGAAGGAGGGTATCTTGCACGAGGACGGTCAGAGAGGTCTCCTCAGCGCCCTGACGAAGCGAAGGCGGAAAAGGCCGGAACGGATAGAGCAGGTTCGTCCAGACTTGCGTCTACGCAACTTGACTATGTCGCTCACGTCCGGCAATGTTCTGCTGTTGCTTTACATCGGCGTATGAAAACAGCCTCGACTATTGGACTCGCTCGGAATCGCGCGCTGTAGCTGGATGACCGCTCTGCCCGGCTCTGTCATGCTCGACGAGCTGTACATCCCGGGCTCGCACGTACATCGTCACGCCTGACACGCTCTCGTTTCTTGCACAACGGTGAAAGAGTGCTGATGCTCAGCGACGCGGCGCACAGGAAACCCTCGCCCTGCACTATCCCCTCCTCTCCTCCCTCTGCCAAACCCTCCCACTCGCCTCTCAACTCTCCTTCGGCATCCGCTTCCTCGACCTCCGCTTCAACCTCACCGACAAGGGCGAGTTGTGGGCGTATCATGGACTTGTGCCTCAGCGAAGGAGGGCAGAGGAGGTGTTTGAGGAGATTTACGAGTGGTTGGAGAGTGCGGAGGGGAGAGGGGAGACGGTGATTATCAGCGTCAAGCAGGTGCGCCGGAGGGGACTGTCAGCTCACTCAAAGCTCTCGCTGACACCGCGGCAGCACGCAGGAAAACGATACCCCTCCCGAAGTCTTCGCCTCGACCCTCCTCTCCCTCATTCAGTCAACCGCACCTCTCCCCTCCTCGCCTTCGAATCGCACGCCCGCCTCCTTCTGGTACACCAAGAATGAGTGGCCACGACTGGGCGACGTGAGAGGAAAGGCTGTCTTGTTCTGCAGGTTTGCGTGGAGGGGATGTGAGTCGCGCCGCGCTTTTTTCGTTGCACTTGCTTGAGCGTGGGTGAGCTGATGACGATGCGGCGATCTTCACAGACGGCCTGCATCCGGTGAGCTGGCCGAACGATCAGCATGTCGCCTGGACGACCGATATCGGCGGCCGCGAATCGCTCGTGCAAGACTGGGTGCGCTCTCCTCGCTTGCTCTTCTACTGCCTTCTTCCTCGAAATTGCTTACAAACGGCGCCCGCTCTCTTGCACGCACAGTACGGCGTCCGCACCCCCCTCTCACTCCCACTCAAAGCCTCCCTCTGCCTCTCGCTCTTCGATGCGCCCTCCTCCTCGCTCCTCCCCTCCTCTCCCTCCTCTCCCTCTCCCACCGGCCCGCGGTTCCCTCACAGAATCTCCTTCCTGTCCTGCGCGACCTTCCCAACCCTCTACCCCTCCACCGCCGCGAAAGGATGGGGCTTGGCACTCCGATGGCCCTGGTCTGCTCGTCGACGCGGTGGGGCGAAGTTAGGGTGGAAAGGGGTGAATGAGCTTGTGCTGGACGGGTTGGAGCGGTTGGATGAGCGGGAGGAGGAGAAGGGGAGGGGAAGGAGGAGAGAGGAGGGACAGGGAGGGATGTGCGTGTTGATTGATTTTGTGGAGTTCCCGCCGGATGTGAGGGAGGGAGGGGAGGAGAGGAGGGGGGAGCTGGTGGAGAGGGTTATCGAGTGCAACTTTCGTTGAGTTGCGCTCGGTCTCGTCGACATGCCTTGTCTGGAAAGCACGATACGTAGCGAAACTGATCTGCACTGCACAAACGAAGACATCGACAGACCTCCCACGACTCCAACGCACGAGCGCACGAGGACCCTTCACTTCATCCACTCGGGCACCGCACTCTTGACCTCGTACTCCCAGCCCAAATCCTCCTTCACCCTCCACCCAAACAAGTCCCCTTCCTCGCCTGAACCCGGGTAGACAAACAGCGAGCGGTGTTTCGTGGGAGAGGTCTTGTGGAGCGAGGAGAGGGAGGAGAGGTCGGAGGTCGAGAGGGGCGGGAGGGCTGTTTCCATGGAGGCGTGGGACCAGGATGAGCGACGAAGCAGGAGAGAGGGAGGACGGGACGCACTGATGTTCTGCTTCAGCCTCGTCGGGTTACTCGACTTTGGAACGACACTCCATCCCCTCGCAATGTTCCAAGCGAGCACGACCGCCGCAGGCGTCGATTTGTACTTTGCAGCGAGGGAGACGACGAGGTCGTCTGTGAGGAGGGGGGAGGTCGCGCCGGCGCCCAGAGCTGCAGGAGACAGAAGTGAGGAAGTGAGCCTTCTCAGCTTGAGAGGGAAGAGTGGGCGCACGCGAGTAGGCGGTCATGTGGATGCCTTTGCTCTTGCAGTACTCGTCGAGCTCGCAGCTCGGAAGGTACGGATGTCCCTCGACCTGTGCGAACAGGGCTTATGAGCGGAGAAGCAGCGAGGGGGACAATGTTGAGGCGCACCTGGTTGACAGCCGGGACGACCTTGGCCGTCTTGAGCAAGATCTCGAGGTTCTTGATTGAAAAGTTGGAAACGCTGTCCAAGACTCAGTCAGCCCGAAGATGGTAGGAAGGCGAGAAAAGTTCTGCGCACCCAATACTCCTGACTTTCCCCTTGTGCGTCTCAAGCAACTCTTCCATCTCGCTCCAGACTTCGCTAAAGGTGGGCGTCTGGCCGAAGGGGATCGTCTTGCCCGTCGAGGCGTCGATAGTCTGTCCACAATGGCGAAAGTCAGCGGCGAGGCTTGGCAAGAAGGAAAGCGTGGCGTTGAGCGTACGAAAGGCCAGTGCATCAGGTACTGCGACGAACGAGAACGTGAGCGAGGCCTGATGCTCGACGAGGTAGGAGCGAACGCACCAAGTCAATGTAGCCGACATCCAGCTTCTTCAGCGACTGCTCGAATGCGTCGACCACGCTCTTCCGGGCGAGACTGGGAGTGTGAAGCAGCTAGTGAGCAGTGAGCGGATACCTTTGACGAGAGGGAGGGGAAGACGAAACGTACGCCAACTTGGTCGTCACGAACAGCTCCTCCCGTGCGATCCCGCTGTCCCGGAGCGCTTTTCCCACCGCCTCCTCGCTTCCGTAGCCTGAAGCGGTGTCAAAGTGCGTGTAGCCGGCCTGCAGGACAGCGCAGTGTCAGTGTAGGAAGCGAAACGTCAGAATAGAAGAGTCGAGACGCACGTCAAGGGCGTTGCGAACCATTGTGTAGGTCTCTTTGTCGATGGGTGAGCCCGATGTGACAGGTGCGCCCATCCAGCAGCTGGCAGACGACCGTTTCGGTCAGCGGAACGCGACACTCGAGCGACACTAGGAACAGAAGGACGAGGACGCACCCAAGGCCGACAGACGGGATGCGAGCGCCAGAGTTGAGCAGGAACGATGGCACAGACGCAGCCATGGCGACAATAGCAGAAAGCGGCACGAACAAGTGAGAGGAAGGAGGAAGAAAGGCGTGACAAAGCCGCGAGTGGAGGGGAAGGAGGGCGAGCAGAAAATCGGGACCTGCACCTGGCGCTTTCGCTTCTTTACGAGAAATCATATGAGCGTACGCATCGACGTCTACACTGGACAGACTGCCCGAAAACGTCGCCGCTGAAATGGCGCTCGCGACTTGACGGCGCGCCGCTCACTCAGCCAGCGCGCGCTGAGCGGGCCCGCTCCTTTGTCCGCTTCCTGCCACTCTCTCACGCCTCGCACGCAACAAGTGACTGGCTCGCTACACTCGCAGAAATGGCGCACGGTCCTGAGCAGTGTCAGCTTGACCTGCGACGCGCGCTGTGGCTGCCGCCGCCGGCTCGTCGCGATGAGGTCGGAGGATGTCTTGCTCGACCACAGGTGTGCGCGGGCTGCTCCTGACTCACTGGACAGGTTCATTGCATGCTCAGCACCTGCGCCAGGCCCTCGTGCAGTCCCCACCACACGAGGTCGCGGGCAAATTGGCCCTCGACGGCCATCCCCCTCCTCCGGCCTCCCTATGCACCTCAGTCCCTCCCGCCGAGCCCGCCCACGACCGCACGGACGTGCATTGACCTTCGCTGGAGCGGTAGAGCCGGCGTTAGCTCGGGCTGCCTCGCTGTGAAAACCCTGCTCGCCTCTTGGCTTCCTTCCCATCACTTCACCTCGACATCTCTTCCTGGCTTCTTCTGGCTCGCTGTTCCACATCGCGACAGCATCAGATCAGCTTCAGCATGATGGACATGCACTCTGTAGCTGCCAACTTCACCGGAGTCGATGCGTGCGTGCCCGCCCCTCCCCATCCCTCGGCAGGGTCTGGAACTTCCGACGCTGACCTCCTCCTTCGTCGCCGCCTTTCAGCTGCTACCTCGGAAACCACAATGGCTCGTGGCCGAACGGGACGCTCGGAGCGGGAACGTGGACCGAGTTCGGGAAATATTCGCCGAGTATGGATGAGATGATGGCCTGTCAAGCTGGCAACGTGCGTCCCGCTTCCTCGCCCGCGCTGCAGGGGATACTGCTACTCATGGTATTTGCTGACTTGCTTCTCGCGGTCCCGTACGCAGGACCCGTGGTCGGCGAGCTACAAGTACGGCCTCTGGACGACCTACTTCTTCCTTGCGCTCTTCGTCGCCGCCGGCATCTACAACGCCTTCCTCTCGCTAGACACGCTCAACCGCAACGCGACCCTCCTCTCGCCGTTCGCCATTCCACCGAGGATCAAGGCCATCGTCCGCTCTCTCGACCAGCGGAAAATCTCCGGACTCTTGCCGGAGGTCGGCGTCGTCTTGCTCGCGACCGTCTTTGCGGCTTTCAGCCTCGCGGTGTGCTTTGGTATCAGGCCGTACTACCGGCCGCCCAACTTTGGCTCGTCCCCGCTGTGAGTTTGCCTCTTCTCGCCTCGACTTCGCTTCTGCAAGCTGACTCCGCCACACCTTCTTGCAGCGGTCTCCGCAGCGAATGGATCGCAACAGCCCTCATCGTCTGGATCATCGCAACAGCGACTAAACGCAACCCTCTCTCCTACCTCTCCGGCATCCCGTTCCACCGCCTAATGTCCCTTCATAAACTCCTCCCCTGGTTCTGCCTCTTCTTCGCGCTCGTACACACGGTTGCGATGATCATCAGGGCGAACAAGCAGCAGCCTTGGCGGGTTACGCTTGCGACCAACTCGGCGTATGGGTGGTCGGCTTGGGTGCGTTGCGCTTCCTTCCCTCGCCGCCAGGTCCAGGTGCTGACCCATAGTTACATTGCGTAGACCGCCCTCGCCTCACTTGCCTTCCTCTGCCTCGCCTCGCTCCCGCCCATCCGCCGCCTCTCGCACGAGTTGTTCTACCCAGCACACATCGTTGCCGCGATACTCATGCTCGCCGCCTGCTACGACCACTTCGAGGGACTCCTCGGCTCGTGGTCATACCTCTACGCCGCGGTGGTCCTCCTTGGGTTTGCGTTCGTGCACCGCTTTGCGGCGGTTGCGTTCGTCTCGCGCTTCTTTACGAGGCCGGAGACTGCGGTCGTCGAGATGGGCGGCGACAATGTGCTGGTCGTCAAGGTCGACGTCCGGAATGCCGAGATGAAGTGGTCTGCGGGCCAGCACGTCTTTGTCCGCTTCCTCACCCTCCATCCTTGGTCGACCCACCCGTTCACCATCGCCTCGCTCGACGCCTCGACCACTTCTTTCTTCCCCTCTGACCCGCTCAAACGCCAGATGAAGTTCTTGATCCGCCCTCACTCAGGCTTGACCGCCCGCCTCGCTCACCTCGCCACCTCCTCTTCCTCACCCCTCTCAGTCCCAGTCCTCCTCGACGGTCCCTACGGCCCCTCCTCCCCCCTCTCCACCATCCTCTCAGGCTCCAACTCCGCACTCCTCGTCGCAGGCGGAACAGGCATCTCCTTCGTCCTGCCTTTGCTCTCTGCGCTCGTTGAAGGGACGGAGGTGCATGCGGTAAGGAGTGTGAAGCTCGTTTGGGCGGTCAGGAACGCGGAGTGTGTGGAATGGGTCAGGCAAGGGTTGGAGCGGGTGGTAGGGTTGGTCAAGGACGAGAAGGAGAAGCGCGGGAAGGCGGGAGGCGGCTGGATGGGCGTCGAGAAGCTCGAAGTCGACATCTTCGTCACTCGCTCGGAGACGCTTGTGCTGGGAGGGAGCAAGGCCTCCTCGTCCGAAGATCTCGGCGGTGTTCAGGAGGTCGCGTCGCCGCCGCTCGTCTTGCAGTCCGGTAGGCCTGACATCGCCAAGACGGTTGACACGGCGACGAGGACCTCACAGGACAGGCTTGCCGTTGTCGGTGCGCTCTCCTCTCCGCTCTCTGTCACTTCCGCAGGTACTGACGCCGCTCGTCTCGACGCAAACAGCTTGCGGCCCGTTCTCGCTCCTCCACGAGACTCGCAACGCCATCGCACGCGCACAACTCGCCATCGCCATCCACGGTACCGTGAAGAGCGAGTCGGAAGGGAAGCCGGTCAGGGGCGTGGAGGAGATTGTGTACTGGGAGGAGAAGTACGCTTTGTGAGATTCTTCGTTTCCTTTCTCCCGAGGGTACAAGTTCCTGTAGATTTTCGTTTCTCGTCGTTCGCAACGCCGCTCCGCTCGTCTGGCTTCTTGCGGTAGCATGTCGCACTTCGTGCTCGCAGGAAGAGATCAATCGTAAGCTCGTGAATTGGCGTGAGAAGGCAAAGCTACAAGAGAAGGGTCATCCGACTGCCTAAATGGAGATGTACAGCTAAGGAAGGAATGGACAGGAGAAACGGCGTGCTTAGCCCGCAAAGTCGACCTCGACGACCCATGGCTTTTCCGACTCCGCATCCTGCGCAATCCCGCGACTACCCGCACCCTCTTGCGATTCCAACCCCTTCCACGCCGACTCGACCTGGAACTCGACGATGCCTGCGTCGGACGACACCTCGTGAAGAACCGAAGCGTCGATGGGCCGTCCATCGAGGAAGAGGCGGAGCGAGGAGAGCGAGGGAGGCGCAGGGGAGACGTAGAAGGCGAGGCGGTCGCTGAGGTAGTGGAGCTCGATGCGTAGACGGGTTTCGGGCTCGTGCGAGAGGCCGGACGAGGGCGATGGAGCTGGCGCGGAAGCCGGTGCGTTCGCGTGCGCGGGACTTGCCTCGATCATCCGCTGGCTACCGTTCGACCTCCAGCCAACGATCCAGAAGACGGTGAAAATGCTGAACGACACGAGGGCCTTGATCTCGGAAAGCACGGTGCGGACCGGCTGGCGGAGAATGTCGCGGGCAAGCGAGTGGATCTCGGTGCGAGGCGTGCGAGACGCCGCAGTGCCGGTCGACGAGCTTGGGACAATGGACGTGCGGAAGAAGCCGGCAAAGTAGGCGAGGAGGAAGGGGAGGCGGCCTTGTGGGACAGGGAACGACGAACGGTCGGTCGGCGAGAGCGGGCGGGTGAGCGTCTGGTTCGAGCCCGAGCTTGACGACGGAGTCGTGGACGATGAGGCAGTAGATGAGAGGAGTGCCTCGGAGCTGGATGTGTCGCTGGACCCGTTGCTCGAATCGTTCGTCTCCTCGACCTTCCCAATCCCGCTCGTCGTCGACGACTTCCCGCTGATAACCTCCACGGACTTGATCGCCGCGAGTCCGACCGTCTTGTCGAGCAAGCCGAAGCAGGCAATCTTGACTGACTTTTCGGAAGAGGCGGCGGGCAAGTCGAAGAGCTCGGCAACGGTGAGGACGCCGGCCTCGTTCTGGGCGACGTCAACCGACGCGAGCGGCTTGGCGAAGCGGCGAGCGAATTTCGAGGCAGTGGCGATGGCTGCGGAGTCGACCTGAGTCGCGTTGAGAGTCGCAGGGTTGACGAGAACGAATGAGCCAGACTCGCTTCCCGCAACCGAGTGGAGGGAGTCGGCCACGTCCTTCGAGTCGACGAGGGTCGTCAAACGTCCGTCGACAAGGCGCTTGGCAGGAAGGCAACTCCAGACGCCGATGTGCGCGCCCTTCGCGCTCGCGACAGGGAGGCCAACCTTGAGCACGTCCGTCTCGGCGTCGTCGAGCCGTCCGAGAACATCGTCGCCCATCCTACCTTGCAACACAGTCCCAACCCCTCCCTCGCGCGCCTGCAACACCCGCACGCCCTGCTTCGTCACCGCGAGCAACGACTCCCACCCGCTCAAGTCCGCGCCAGGCTCGTCCGACATCCAGACCTGCGCCGACGAGAACGCTCTAAGCGCGAGGTGAGCCTTGCCAAACTCGTGCGCCGACTGCGCCATGTCAAAGTCTGGCTCGAAGCGGAGCGCAGACGAGAGGAGCGTCGTGAGGGCGTTCAGGGCGATGTGCCACCTGTGCGAGTCGGGCGCGTCGGGGAAGTAGTCATCGCTGTTGCGGACTGTCGAGATGGCTCCTTCATCCGTCGCGCCGACGATCCCGAGCGAGCCGCCCCAGATACGAGGCGAGCCGGCCATGCAGTGGATGATGCCGTCTGCGCCAAACGCGTCGATCGCTGCTGCACGCATCGCCTCGAGCATTGCGACGCGGTACTCGCCCACTTCGTCCGGCGTCGCGCCTTCCTCCTCGTCCTCGCCGACCTCCTGCGCGACGAGGCAATCAACCGTCGCCTGGTCGTCAACCTTGACGAAATCGACGCCGGCAGCGCGGAGGGATGAGAAATAGTCGTCGTAGAAGGTGCGGAGGTCGGATTGCGCGGGAAGGTAGATGTGGCCGTTGTAGGAAGGATGGGCGGCGGAGTGGACGGTGAAGCGCCGGAGGGTGTAGGCGTCCGCGAGCGAGCGGTCCGGGTGGAGACCGTGCCAATAGCTGTATGTGCATCATCGTGCCAGACGAGTCAGCTGCGCCGGAAGATTGACAGGCAAAGCCGACAGGATGGGGAAACCCACAACGCACCCGCAAAGCGTCATCCAGACCCCGACCCTCTCCACGCCCCTCTCCTTGACTCTCCTCATCACCTCCCTGAGCTCAACACAGACCCCCTCACGCGGCTGGCGGGGCAACTCCCCTCCCCTCCCCGCCGCCGCCGGACTTCCCTCGTACCCCGAGTCGAGGCTCACGCTCGTGCGCTTGCCCTCCTTCACATCTTCGTCGGCAGAGGAGGAGTCCTCCTCGAGGTCGAACCACTCCATCGAGCACTGGAAACTCTTCAATGCCCTCCGTTCGCCCTGCTCCCTGTCCCCCTCTCCCGCTCCGACGCTGAAATCGATATAGGTCTCCGTATCCTGCCACCCGTCGTCCAGCAGCACGGTCTTGATCGCTCGTGAGGCGGAGGACGGGGAGGAACGGAGCGAGTCGAGCCAGGAGAGGAGAGAGGTGGCGGAGTAGTCGGCCGATCCGCCACGGGAAAGGGCGTTCCAGGTGCACGCTCCGAGGGGTTTTGGCGCGTAAGGGCGAGAAGATGGGTCGGAGGAGGAGAGAGAGGACGAGGGGGAGAGGACGCCTCGTGCGGCGGCGACGCAACGCTCGATGAGCGTGCGCAACTCGCCTTCCTCGCCCCATGCGATCGCGAGATGTCCTTCGCTCGCTCCCTCCGCATCTTGTTGACACCTGAGCAAGATCTTCTCCCCTCCCTCGTTGCGAACAAGCGCAGCGCTCGTCTGACGCGTCGAGAACGGCAGAAGGACGGTGTACCGCGTCCAGGGATCCGTCGGGCAGGGGAGTAAACGGAGGATGAGGAGTTGGGCTGGGAAGGTCGGGGAGAGGTGCGAGAGGATCGAAGAGGGGGAGGAGCGTGGGAGTGGGCGCGGGGCGAACCAGGTGCGGCTGTGTGCGTAGCATTCGAGCGGGGTCAGCGCGACCAGCTCGTGATCTTCCACCGCAAGAAGCAGGTGACATGGTAGCTCATCCCAGCGGACAGAAGACGAGCGAGACCGCCGCAACGCACCTACTCTGCTCCACAACCAACCCGTCCACTTCCCTCTCCCCCAACCCACTCAACCCGACCCACTCCCTCTTCACCTCCACGTCCCACTCTCCCTCCTTCTCCGTCGCAGCGCCGCGGGAGAACTTCCCAACTTTGACGCACTCCGTCCCAGGAACGGGGGGAGAAGTCCACTCCTTCCCTTCAGGCCCCTCCCATCCCGCCTCCGCCTTTACGTCCGAGCTAACGACAACAATCCGTCCGTTCCCTCCGGCGGATCCGAGCCACTCGACGTCTCCAGACGAAGAGACCAAGCGGTACGTGAACTCCCATTCTCCTTTGTCCTTCGGCAGGGGGATCGAGGCGCTGTAGAAGTTTGAGGCGGAGGAGGAGGGGACGAGTGGGAGGGCGTGCCAAAACTCGGATGCAGATGAGGAGGAGTTTGGGGAAGGGGAGAGAGGGAGGTTGGTCCATACTTCTGCGACTCGTTTTTCGCTCCCTTCAACTGCGTTGGTCGAGGACGAGGGGAGGTAGGTGAACCAGATGCGCTTCTCCAGTCCCTCTTCGTCGGCGTCGGCGGAAGAACGCGAGGAAGAAGGGAGGTACGTCCTCGACGCAAGAGGCGGGTCGAACCGCCCTGTCGCAGTCATCTGTACCCACACACAACATCGTCAGTCATCGTCGCTCCCTGGTCCCGCTACGCTTTGCTGTGATCCCCACTTCGACCGCGTCCCGAGGCAAGCAACTCGTCACCCTCCCGCGCCCCTTCCACCGCCTCGCCAGTTCGCCCAGTACTCATGATGGAACGATCGAGCGTACCTCTGTACTCAGCGAGTCGTGCGAAGCAGTTGAGCGGGAGGACGAGGAGTGACGCGAGGTGGGGGAGCGGGAGAGGGAGAGTCTTGGAACGACGGGAGGACGCGGTGTGCGAGTTTGGCGCGTGTGTATTTAGCAGGCAGACAGCGGAGCGCAGCCAGCAGACGCAAGCAGGTAGAAGGAAGGTGAAGCGACAATGCAAGCGGGACGAGGGACGCAATACACAGCGACACAGTAGAGTATTACTGGGCCTTTTTACAAGCACGGCGCTATTACATCGAACTACAGACCGGAAGGAAAGGAAGACTACGGCGCAACAACGCGAAAGAGGAGGGACGTCGAACGAAAGGAAAAACAACGCAAAGAAAGCAAGGCGGCGAGCAGAGGTGTGCCGGGGGATGCGGTGTGCGTACTGATAGAGTACAGGAGACGAGGGGGGCATGTCGAGGTGTCGAGCGGAGAGAAAAAGAGAGGACCAGGCGGTCAGGCCAAGACGTTTCCTGCGCCAACGGTGGTCGCGAGCGCGATGGCGGCTGCGATACCGATTGTCGTTGCGAGCGATGCGGTCGAGAGACGAGGCGGAGCGGCGGCGATCTGCGAGCCAACGTCCAGTCCTCGCATCAGTTTCTCCTTCTCTCACCGGGCAAAGGACTCTGAAGAGGAGGAATGAGCGTTGGACTTACCTGCAAATTCGTCGGATTGGGTTGCAAATCCGTCACACCTCCCGCGCCACCGCTCGCTGCCGGAACCGCAGGGTTCGTGACGTTTCCTGTCGGAGGGACGGTTGTTGCTGCGGCGGTGTAGACGAAGGTGTCGGTGTAAGAGCCGGCGCCCGCCGAGTTGGTCATTGTGATCACGCTACGCGAGTGCGACGCAGGGCGAGGGCGAGGTAGACGAAGAAAGTCAGTGAGCGGAACATGACTCTCGAGGGAGAGCAAGCGAGACGCACGATCCAGGCGCCGCCGTCTGACCCGTCGCAGTCGGCGTGAACGTGTTGGGCGCCGAATAGAACGGGACGCTCGTCGAGGCGCTCGAGGATGCGGCGGCAGACGAAGATTGCACGGACGAGGCAGACGAGGAGGCTTGGCGCTTCTCGAGAGGGATGGCGAGCTGTGTGCGACGCATTGGGAGCGAAAAGGGTCAGTGGGCGTCGTTGGTCTAGCATGGCGTGCCAGGAGCAAGCGAGAGGATTGTTCGCCGGTCCCTCCCTCCCTCTCGACCCAAACTCGTCCGTCTCCTCCTCGGCTGGACCCGGTCCACCACATGCCCCCATTTCCAGCACACTGCAATCCACTGACACGAGCGAATCCTCCAGCAGAGTCGTCCTCGCCACCCGCACCCTCGTCGCCGCCCGTCGTGCCTGACACCCTCCCCTCCCAAGTCTGCGCAGAAGCATGGCAACTCACAGCCATCGCTCCGTAGCACAGTACGGTAGCCAGTCGCAGCAACATCTTCGGACACGACAGCAGCAAGCGAGCGAGGCGAGCGGAGAGCGAGAGGGAAGGGAAGAAGGAGGAGCCCCCGATCGAGTTTGCCGGGCGTTGCGAAATGAAAACACAGGGGGATCCCGGGCGACGAGCGAGTGAAGGGAATTGCAGGGAGAGTGGTGCGATGCGATGTGCGGGCGTCGGAAGTGATACAGCGGCAGTGCGAGAACGGACGGAAGGGCGGAGGCGAAGCGAGCAGAAGTGCGGGCTGGGGTCAAGGAGGGCACGTTGTCGAGGTTGCTGAGGTGCTGGCGGGTCGAGGGCGTCGTGCGAGTCGTGTAGCCGACGTCGCCATCATGTCGAAGAGGCGAACATTCCCAGCCTACGTCCACCTTACCCTCCCCCTCTCGTCCCTCCCCCTCCTCCTCTCCCGCTCCCTCTCCTCCTCCTCGTCCCCCCTCACGCGTGGCAAAGGCGGCTCAGCCGGCACGTCCGCCGCGGGGTGGAACGACGGGCAGCGGGAGAAGAAGAGCGAGAGGGTGCGCTGGCGGAGGATGCGCTCGATGCTGGATTCGGTCGAGAGGCGGGTGCGCTGCGGCGAGGAGAGGGTGTTGCGATTTGCGGGGATAGCGGGGAGGTAGAGAGAGTGGCGAAAGTGTCGTCGCGGCGAAAGAAGGGCGAAAGAACGAGGGAAGCAATGTCAGTCTTCGGAAAGTGAGGACGAGAACGACCGTCAAAACCGCCTCATCCCGCCAGAAAGGACCGCGCCGCGCACCTTGAACTCCAAATCATCCACCACACCCCTCCCCCGTTCCTTCCAATCCGCACTCAACCTCTTCTCCTCCCCAACCCCCATCCCCTCCTCCTTGTTCCTCCCTAACCGCTCCCTCTCGCCCTCAACAACCCCATCACAAAACTCTATCGCCTTCCTCCTCTCGTCCCACCTCGCACACAACTCCCTCCACACCCCCTCGCACTCAGAAGGACCCATCACCCCTCCTCGTCCTTGAATTGCAGACCCACTCAACGCACTAGCCCGATTCAACCGCGTCGTGATCGCATCGTCGCTTGCGCGTCGGGACGAGTCGAGGAGGGTCTTGAAGTGCGTGAAGGAGAGGCAGGTCGAGGGGGTGATTTCGGTGCGCGATGAGGAGGAGGTTGAGGAGGAGGAGGGGGTTTGAGCGAGGAGCCAGGCGGAACCGAGGAGGGGCTCTGGCGGGGTTGGATGGGACATCCGAGCGGGTTCTGAAGGGCTTTGGACCGAGCGAGCAGAGTGGGTCTCGTCAAGAGGCGACGAGGACGAGTTGCGAGAGAACTGCTTCATCGGCTGGCTTGCTTGGGCTCGTTCAACTGCTAGGCGTGCTCAGTGGCTCACTAAAAAGCCACTCAAGGCGAACCGAACACCTCCGCGCGAGGACAACGCCTTCATCCGCCGTCCGCCAACTCGACTCGCGGCTGTCGCTCATCTCCCGCGCGACACACTCGACGGGCGGGCTTGCAGGGGCGCCAGGTGACTGTTACGGGCTCAATACACGGGTCTGAGCGAACGGGCGGCAGCAGGAAGTCGAGACGAGGCCGGACGAGCCCACATTTGACGACTATCGACGGACGCGACTAGCGGTGCAGGACTCGCTGGATACGAATCGTGAGACGCGCACGACGGCGTTGTAGGCTTTCAAGATGCACAAGTGAGTCGCGCGAGGTCTTCCGTCTCGAACTCGCCAGACTCGTCTCCTTCTCCTCACCACGAATGAGACTCAGGGACTGACCTTCCTCGACTTCCCGCGCAGAATCGTCTCCTCGCCCATCATTCGCTCCCCCTCCCTCCTCCCACGCCCACTCCCCCGCCGGCGTCGAACCCTCACCCCTCCGCTCCCCCCCGCTCTCATCCTCGCACTCCGAATCCTCCTCGTCGCGCTCGTCCTTTGGTCCGAAATCCTCGCCTTCCGGGTTGCGGCAACATGGCAGTGCGGGTTTGATGATTCCCCGAGCGTCAAGGGGCGAGTGTGGGACGGGACGGTCGATCCCTCTTCTTCGCGGTCTCGAGGGTGGACGCCCGACGTTCGATGGCGGGACGCCGCACGCTCTCATGACGCCCGCGGCAAACCCTTCCACGTCCTCATCCTCACCGACCCGCAATTGCTCGATATGCGGTCCTATCCCTCTCGCAACTGGGTCCTCCGCTGGCTCGGCGTCAAAATGACGGATTTGTACGCGAGGAAGAGCTGGAAGGCTGTGACGAGGAGTAGGGGCAAGGGAGGGGGTGGAGTGGATGCGGTGGTTTGGTTGGGAGACTTGTTGGATTCGGGGACGGAGATGGTCGATCGGAAAGAGTGCGTTCGCGGTGGTTCTCCCGGACCTGCCTCGTTCGGTCGCACTCGACGAGCGCTGACACAGGCGCGGTTATGCGCGCTCGCAGACACTCCTCCTACGTCCACCGCTTCCACCTCCTCTTCCCCCTCCCACGCGCCTCGACCTCCTCCTTCTCCGCGCTCTCCTCCTCCCCCCGTTCCCGCTCGCACCTCATCCCCCCAATCCCATCCATCACTCTCCCAGGCAACCACGACCTAGGCCTGCACCTCTCCTCACCCTCCCTCGCACGCTACGCACGCGAATTGTTCGAAGAGGCGTTTGGACCACCTTGGGGTGAGAGGGAGTGGAATGGATGGAGTCTGGTTTGGATTGATTCGATGGCGTTGCTCGAGGAGGAGTTTTGGGAGGCGGATGGGGGGCAGTTCAGGGAGATGAGGAGGTGGTTGGACGAGTTGGGTCGCGGTGCGTCGCGGTTTCGTTGCTTTCGAGCTTCTCCGGGCGCCTCTCTACGTTCGCTGATGTCGTTGAGCTTACTCTCGGCGGTCGCACAGGCACAGTTACCCAACCTCGCATCCTCCTCACCCACACCCCCCTCTACAGACCCGAAGGGACCCTCTGCGGCCGCCTCCGCGAACACTCTCGACCTATCTATCAAGGGGCGGGCAAGAACTACCAGAACGAGCTTGACGAGCAGAAGACGAGGTGGTTGGTCGAGAGGGTTAGGCCCAGTTTGGTGTATTCGTGAGTTGCGGGAACTCTTGTTCTTTCGCTCGCTCGTATGTTCGATGGCGTTCGGGTCATCGTGTGACGCTCTGCCGTTGCGCAAGTACTGATCTTGCTCCTCTTGAACGATGCGAGCAGCGGCGACGACCACGACTCGTGCATCATCACCCACCCGTACACCTCGCCGCTCGACGGCGTCACTCCCGTCGTCGAGACGACTGTCAAGGCTTTCGTGCGTGTCACACTTGCTCCTGAATTCGCTGCACTCCCCGCTGACTGACGTTTGTCGCTCGCAGAGCATGGCGATGGGCGTCCGGCGACCAGGCTACCATCTCCTCTCGCTCTACGCGCCCCTCCCTCCCTCCTCCGCCTCGCTCGACCCGTCACTTGACCCCTCCGACCTCCCCGTCTCGTACACCTACACCCAAACGAACTGCACCCTCCCGGACCAACTCGGCACCTACCTCCACCTCTACCTCCCTCTCGCCGCGTCGTTCTTCCTCTTCTTCCTTGTGCCGAAGTTGGGCATTGTGGCGAGGACGTGGATGACTCGGCGGAGGCACAGGCGGGTCGTCACCGCTCGTTCGAACGGGAGCGAGGCGAACGGCGGAAGCGAGGGCCGAACGCACCGACACAAACGCAGCTTGTCCAGCAAGTTGTCGTCTGTCGTGCTCGGCGCTGGTGCGCACGCCAGTCGCAGGGCGAGTTTGGCAGAGGACGAAGCGGACGCGGATGATGTCGAGGCACAGTATCCGGCGTTGTTGGGCGGGTTGGCGCACCTTGATGATGGTGGGTTATACTCGCCGTTGACGGGCATGGGAGACGGCGAGGAGGATATGTATGGCGGCGGTGGGCGGGTCGACGAGGGTCTGCCGACTGCGGCAAATGGGGCGGGAGGAGGCGGACGCGGTGGAGGTCATGTTCGGCGGGTATCGCGCGTCTGGCTGTGGGAAGGGACGGGCAGCAAGGCCCCCTCACCTCGACACTCGCTCTCGGGCGCGCCAAACGGGATGCTCTCGACTTCAGCCTCCGCAAACGCCCCTCTCGCTCGACTTGCTCGCCTGGCACAACGGCTCTCCGACCGACTCGCATCCAACTCGCTCCTCGCACCTCTCTTCCGCATCTTCTTCCGTCCCGTCGTCCGCACCCTCCGCCTCGTCTGGCGAAAACTCGCCGCCCCGTTCGTCCTCCTTACGGGCGGCAGCATCGGCGGACCACTCGGACAGGCGTTTGGCGAGTCGGTGGAGCAGACCTGGGAGGTGGCGTGGCCGGCTGTCGCGCTGTGGCTGCTGCAGGTCGCGTGGTATTCCATGTAGATTTCCCTCGCTTAGACAGCGTTCGACAGACACTTGCATACATCTCGTTTCTCGCTCGCAACAGCACTGCGTGTGCGCCTGCTTTGCGACATGAGCGGCTACGAATTGAAGACCTTCGAGAAGAGCTGGTCGTGCCTGCTCGCGACAATCTCGCCCAACGGCCAAGTCGTCACCGGTCCTCGCTCGTCAACCTTCTCACTTGCTCCAGTGTTCCAGATGCCCTTCCATGTCGGATCGTCGTCCCACCAGTCTCCGCTATCCCGCCCACCGTCCCCATGCGCTCCATCCGCCTTGATCACAGCCTCGTCTATCCGCGGCGCAGTCTCCGCAACTGCCTCGTCGACAAGCGGCTTGAGGTCCCACAGGAGCATGCGGTGCGCGAGGTAGGGACCGACGATGTTGAGTCGGACGGCGGAAGAGAGGAGGGAGCGGGCGTGGAGGAAGAGGAAGAGCGGAAGGGCCGAGTCTGCGTACAAAATAGCGGCTCTGCTCAGCTACAGCCCTTGTCCATTGAGAAAGGTGACTACGCGAGAGCCAGCCGCCGCACGCACCGAGAGTAACGCCCACAGCCGCCGTCAAAACCGCAAACGCAACGCTCATATGCCCGCACGCGCCATCCTCACCCTTCCTGACCTTGTTCCTGTACTCCGTGACGAGTTGTAGAACTGCATCCGTCCCTGCTGTCGAAGGCGGAGGCGAGAACGCCCGTTCGTAGAGTGTGAGGAGGGCGACGCCTTGGGCTATTGAGGCGCGGCGGGCGACGTGGTTGAGGGTGAGGGCTTCGCAGAGGGCGTCGGTGGACACGAGGGAGTCGAGGGCGGTCTGGAAGGTCGCGTTGGTCGGTGATTTGGCTGGATGGGCGGAAGACGGAGGATCGGGTTGGGAGACGGAGGAGACGGCTCGATGGGCGGCGCAGAGTAGTGGGACGTTTAGTCGTGCGTAGGAGTGCAGCGAGTGACGCACGAAACCCAGCAACGGTCCCTCGGGTCCAGGTGAAGTCGAGGACGGACGAGGTGGGGATGTCGAGGTCGACGACGGCGAGGCATCGGCTTGCAGCGCCGCATATCCGTGCTGGATCCAAGATTCAAGGCCCGAGGACGCTACGAAGCCTCCCGTTGGCAGATTCGAGTCGCTGAGGACGAGGAGGAGGTACTGTTCGAGCGACGAGGGTGATAAGGTCGGCAGAGGGGTGTGAGGCGTCGTGAGCTCCGGTGCGACCGCCATGGCGCTCTGAGGGGTCGATCAAGCTGCTAGCCTTTCAGACGGAGCCGGCTAGCGAGGTGTGAGCAGCGAGAGAAGGGGACGAGGACAAGGAGGAGATCTCGCTTCAAGACGGTCGTAACGCGGTGGAAGAACAGCTTCGATGCAAGTAGCCGCGCTGTCACTCCTGCACGCTCACCTCAAAGGGCATGGCCTCCGAAACCCCCGCCGCCTTCTTCGCCCGCTCCATCACCGCCAACCCAACACCCTCCTCCGGAATCGCCTCGACGAAGATGACGTGCACGCCATCCTGCTTCATCCTCGGAGCCCTGAACGAGTCGAGGAACCGCAGGCCTGCAAACAGTCGTTGGGCGGCCTCGATTGGCCGGTCGCGACTGCCGAGCGGGTACGAGACGATCTCAATCTCGTCGAGTTTCGGTAGGCCGTCATCGAGGTTCGCGGACTGAGTAGGCAGGAACGTCTTTGCGGGCGGAGGGATGCGGACACGCGAGCAGGCGGGAGAGATGGCGGCGAAGGGCTCGATCTTCAAGGCGTCGAGGGTCGACTCGGTGAACATGAGGCCAACTCGGGTAGGGATCAGAGTCGGCGGCTCGCCAAACTTGTCTGACAGCTCGTAACCGGGGCCGTGCGTGACCGCTACGAGCTGGACCAGCTCCTGCAGGCTTGGGACTGGTTGTTCGGGTGTGCTGGTGCCAGGGGCTGGCGTGACGAGGACGACGCTGGCGTTCTTCGGCGAGTAGTGCATGTACTTCATGCCCGGCGTCGTCGGCTTCTTCTCGAGCTCCTGGCTCCGGAAATCCCGAGCGTAGACCTGTATCCGCCCCGCCTCTCCGGCCGTCCCAAACCCTGCGACCCGCAGACACGCCTCGATCTGCTCGGCCGTCACGCCGCCCGCTCGCAAGACCCGCAACGACCCCTCGCCACCCGCCGCATCATTCTCGGGCGGCACCCAGTCGACAACGGTACTCTCGACACCGACCTCGCACTCACCGCCGTCCAGTACCGCGCCTACCCCTCGCCCCTGTCCGAGATCCGCCATGACGTGCGCCGCAGATGTTGGACTCGGTCGAGTCGAGAGGTTGGCGCTCGGTGCGGCGAGAGGAAGGTTGGCCTGTCGAATGAGGGAGAGGGCGATCGGGTGCGAAGGCATGCGGACGCAGACAGAGGGTTGCTGAGCGGTGACCTCGTCTGCGATCGCGAGTCGGGGCGGATGCAGAGGCTGGCCGCCGGCAATGCGCGCTGCTTTGCCCTTACGGTCGGTCGAGATGGGGAAGATGAGGCTCAAAGGGCCGGGCCAGAACCGGTCCATCAGCGCTTCGTACATCGGCGGGATGACCGGCTTCTGCTCGTCTCCCTTGCCTTGCGACGGTATCAGATCGGCAAGCATCTCGCGGCTCGAGATGTGCACGATCAAGGGGTTGTCGGCTGGCCGTCCCTTGGCCCAGAAGATGCGCTTCACGGCGGTGGACGAGAGGGCTGAGCCGCCGAGTCCGTAGACTGTCTCGGTAGGGAAAGCGACGGGGTTGCCGTCATGCAAGAGTTTCGAGGCTGTTTCGAGGGACGAGGCGAGGGTGGATTCGGGGGAGGTGCGGAGGAGTTGAGGGCGCGCTGGCGCGTTGCGAATGAATTCGGGGAATTCTGGGATTCGATTGGTGTCGGGGAGCATCGGGCGATACTTGCGGAGGAGAGTTCGGGTTCGAGCAAAGGGACCCGTCATGCGACGGCGCGAGCGGCGGGTTGCGAGGGTCTGCGGGCGGCGGAGCGTGGTCAGCTCTCGGTGCGAACGTCCGGGACCTGGCACAAGCCCCCCATCGCCGGTTGTCGCCGTGATATCGCCTCATCGGAAAGAAGCTTGGAGAGGGTCGCAAGTGGCGCGGGAGATGCATGGGGCAGAGCGTTCGGGTGCGCACCTGTCAAAATAAGCTGGTAGAGCAGCAACGAGCGTCCAAGAAGCAGTCCAAGCGGGTTCAAAGCGGCGTGGTCAAGACGAACTTGTTCGATGAGGCGGTTCGTCTCCTCCCTCTCGCTCGCTTCGTCAGGCTAGCTTTGTAGACAAGCTAGACCATTTACACTGACTCGTTGACGGGGTCTGTGGCGCTGCATCGCCGCAGCGCTCATGCTCGTCCTCCCTCGCCCGCCCTACTTTCTCATGGCTCTGGCACCCTCAGTGCACTCGGTAGACATCGACAAGCCTTGATATGGACAGTACAGGACATTGCGGATGATAGGAGGAGGTTGGTGGACCGGAAAGTACGGCTGGATGAGGAGGGCAAACGGGAATCACTGCTTCTTCGCCAACTTGGCCTCAGTACCGATCACGAACGACTCCATGTCGGCAATGGTGCGCTCGCGGATCTTGTGGTGCTCGTTCTCGGGCCAGCCTGCGCGAAAGAGGTGGAGGGACGGTCAGCGGGGACGTTGTCGCGTCCGGGTGAGAGGGAGGGAGGGAAGGAAAGCGCACCTTTGCCTCCTTCCCCGTGGCACTCTCCCAGGAATCCGAGGAAGAAGCCGTCGTTGCTGGTCTGCCGGCGGATCTGCGTCAATGGCGACTTCCACAGGGGAACCGGTATTTGTCCACTCACGCTGCACTGCGAGAAGGCCTGCTTGAACGCCTCCTGGATCTCGTCCGGCTTGGGCTTCTTCTCGGCGTACGTGATCTTGGTCGCAAACAGGTCGAGGTACTTGCGGTTGTGCTCGAGGTCCGCGTTTGCGTCGAGCTCGAGTCCGGCAGCCGACTCGAGGTGGCCGGGGATGATCCGCTGGACATCGAGGCCGTCGATAAGGTCGAGGATATTGCGCCACGCCTCGAGGAACGCAGGCGTCTCGATCTCGGCAGCCCAGACGTGCGTCGTCCGCCCGTACATGCAGTCGCCCGTGATGATGACCTTTTCCCGCGGCAGGTAGAACATGCAGTGGTCGACTGTGTCGCCAATGACCGGACCGAGCAAGATGATGGGCGAGTTGGCGTTGCCCGGCAACACCGCAAAACTGTACGGGTACCGCGTCGGCTTGCGCGGGTTCTTCGGCACGAGGTCGCCGTAGATCGACGGCCAGAACTTGATCTTGTCGTCGTACTCGCGGTCGATGCCGTCGCACACGTACGGCGCGGCGTAGAAGCTCGCTTCGGGCCAAGCTTCGAGGATCGGGTTCGCGGAGAAGTAGTGGTCCGGGCTGGCGCGGGCGGGCGGGTCAGCTTGCGGGGCGGCAGGAGCGCAGAGGGGTCACAGGGTGGAGAGAGCGAGGAGGAGACGGGACGGACTGGTGATGAGTCGAGAAGACAGCAGCGAGCGGGAGGGACGTCTTCTCCTTGATGAAGGTAATCACGTCCTCGGCGTCGGGGATGAGGAACGGCGGGTCCTGCGCGGTGGTGCATGGTCAGTGTTGTGGACTCCGCCTCGAGACGGAATAACGGGCTCGAGGGGGTAGAGCGGGTTCAGGACGCACGATCAACATGCAGGCTTCGGCGCCAACGATGAGGGTCGAGATGGAGCTCAGGCCTTTCTCCGACGAGATCTGCCGACCAAGCGAGTGCACCGGTCAGCCTGATCCTCCCCCGGACGACGAGGAGGAACGGAGGAGGCGCACCTTGTAGTGCACGTCGAGCGGCTTGTCGCTCTTGCGAGCGAGCTTGCCAGAGTTGACGGACGGGTTGACGGGCGGCATAGTGTTTGCAGACGGGAGCAGCGTCGGCGAGGAGGAGGAGAAGCGGGGCCAAGAAGGGATTGCGAAGGTCGCCTGTTCGCCCGGTGTTCCCTGCGACCACTTCCGGCCTTTGTTCACGGGACTGGCTGCCTTTCCCCCACGCAGCGCTAACGTGTCGCTGTCGGGTGCGCTCGTCGTTTGTCCCCGCCCCGACGCTGGATGTCGCTTCCGTGCCCGGAAGATGCTCGCCTTCTCTCCCACGAACCCTTGCTCGCCGGACTCCGCCCCACATTCACCTCGCCAGCTTGCTCGAGTGTTCATACGCTTTCGCTCGACACGCAGACAACATGGCTGGACGAGTTGCACTCATCACTGGCGCAGGACGCGGCATCGGCTTGTCTGCGGTGCGTCTCGACGTTCCTCCCACTTGCCTTCTTCCGCGCGCTGATCGTCGTTCGCTCTCGCAGGCCAAGCTCTTCCTCGAAAACGGCTATCGCGTATTCTTGTCGGACGTCAGCCTCCAACAGGCGCGGAAGGAGCTGAGCGGGACGGACGGGGCGAGGATCGGGTTCCTCGAGACGGATGTCACGAAGGAGGACCAGGTCAAGGCCATGTCACAGGTGCGCCGACGTCCGCTCGCTCTTCTGACGTGATACTGACAACGATGCTGTGGAACAGGCCGCCTTGAAGCAATTCGGACAGGTCGACGCCGCGATCGTCAACGCCGGAATCCTCTCTCCCATCGTTCCCTGGCTCGAGAGTGCGTTTCTCTCGCTCCGCCCTCCTCGCAGCCATCTCACCAGTCTCTCCACGCGCAGGCACACCAGAAGACCTCGACCGGATGCTCGACATCAACGTCAAGGGCGCATGGTTGACCTGCAAGCATGCGGCGCAGGCGATGCTCGACTCGCCTCACAAGGGCAAAGGAGGGTCGATCGTCTTTGTCGCGTCGGTGGCGTCGCTTTAGTGCGTCTCGACACATTCCGGCTCGTAGTGATGAGACGGACGAGTTGACGCTTTCTAGCGGTTCGCAGCGGGCAGCCGGGTATGAGTGGGTACTGCGCGTCAAAGTGGGCCGTCAGGGGACTATCGCTCACTGCAGCAGCCGAGTTTGCGCCTCACGGTGAGTCCGGCCTCCGTCCTCTCCGCTTCGAACAAGGATACTCGCGACTTTTCGCCTTGACCTCCCTCATCCGTGTCCTGTCAGATTGATCGATTGCTGACAAGTCTTTTTTTACGCGGCAGGCATCCGATCGAACTGCATCCAGCCCGGCGCAACAGACACAGCCATGTTCGCCGCCTTTCCTCCCGACCTGCAATCCGCCGTCACAGGTCCGTCCCTTGCCTCTCCCTCCCTCTTTTCCCAACGACTACGAGCTGACGCTGGCGAAACAGACTCAGTCCCCCTCAAGCGCGCCGCACAGCCAACCGAGATTGCAGAAGTCATGCTCTTCCTCGCGGGCGAGAAGAGCAGCTTCATGAATGGGTCGACGGTCGCGGTGCATGGAGGTCAGACGCCGACGTAGCTGCTCGAGCCTGTATTGCGAAGTTTCGGCGTATGTGGGCGAGAAGAGCGAGAGCCAGAAGGCGGGACATGGAGCGGGTTGCTGCGAATGCAAGGTACATTGCGCCCCAACAACCATCACCCGCCAAAGAGAACACGCGCGAGAGAAATACGACAAGGAAGGAGAGCGAGCCAGACAACGAGTGAGGAAGGAACGAGTGAGGGACGTCATCTAGAGTGTGCGAGAGGCGCGCGACGGACAGAACGGAGAGATGCCGAGGCCGACGGGGCGTAGAGTACGACAAGAACGAATGGAGGCGTGTGTAAGGCGAGGCGAGAGTCGTGAGGCGAGAGGAGGTCGGAAGTAAGGGTATCTTGAGGGACCACGCGGGTCAGCTCACTCCATCATGACGTCGTCCGACGATTCGTCCACCGCCTGCGCCTTCCTCGCCCTCGCCGCCGATCTCAGCCGCGTCTTCCACCCCTCCTCGTCCAGCCCTAACGCCCCTCCCGCGGCACCCGGTCCGTTCGTCGGCGCGATAGACGACAGTGTCGGCACGCGTTCCCGCGAGCAGGCGGGTGCGCGAATGCCTTGGTGTATTTGCTGGAGGGTCTGCGGGGTCTGGGTCTGAAAGAGCGGGGACGAGGCGGACGGGCGGCGTTGTTGAGGATGCCGTGAGGGGGCGGCGAAGGGCGAGGCTTGGGTGCGGGAGACGGGCGAGGCGGAGAGGATGGCGGAGGATGTTGTGACGGGCGATCCGGGCGGGAAGAACGAGTGGTGGTGCGAGGGAGAGGCTGAGGGGAACGCGAACGAGGAGGACGACGAGGGGACGGGCGGTGGCGAGAAGGACGACGACGGCGCGGCGTGGTGTGCGACGTTGCTCATGTTGCTCGCCGTCGACGCAAACGACATGGGCGACCCGTACGGCGCCGCAACGCCTTCCCCACCTACGCCTCCTCCCTGGTGAGCCGGTCTCCACCCGTTCCAGCCAGCTGCCGCCGCCGCCGCTCCTCCTCCTCCGGCGCCAAAGAGACCCTGTCCTGCGTTCCCACCAATAGCCAGCGACGGACCAGGCGGGTGCGCGGTCGGTCCACCCGCACTCGCGCCGGGGAGAGCCGACTTGAGGAACGAGGAGAGCACGAGCAGGTCGCGGTCCCTGCGCGACTCGAGCGAGAACGAGTCGCTCGCGAGCAGGTCCAGCAGGTCGTCCTCGTCGACCCGCGACTGCCCTCCGCCCTGCTGACCCTGCCCGTGGTGGTTGTGTTCGTGCGGATGAGGGAACGACGAGCTCATGTCGAGGAAGCGGCGCGGGTGGGCGTGGGCGTGCGCTGCGAGGGTCTCGACGTCGTTTGCGCTGTCGACGAGCGCCGTCATCCACGCCGCGAGCACGTCGACGTCGAGGTGGAGAATAGCGAACCCAAGTTCGCCGGACAGTCGAGAACCGAAACGCTTACTTCGTGGGGGATTACAAGGAAGCATATTCACGCAATAGCAACTCTCTGTAATCACGACGCGAGGGCTTCCGGCGGGAGCCGCTTGTCCCTTCGCGCAAAGCGGGCCGCTCTTTCTCCAAGTGACGCCCCCTGACATCGCCGGGCTCTTAGGGATTGTGGAGACAGCTTGTGCATTGCGAAGAGTGCGCCTGCGAGCGACTTTGCGAGGAAAAGCGGGTTGCGGGCGGGAAGGCGAGCGAGGATATTGAGGGAAGTGCGAGATGCGAGATGTCGAGGGTTGCGGTGCGAGGGCGGAGTGTATGTACGGGTCGTGTGAGTGAAGCTGAAGGCGCGGCGAGGCGAGCGAAGGGAAGAGCGAGCGGTTAGTTGAAAATGTTGGTGCTGTCCTTCCAGCTGCGAGAAGACGAGAGCGTGAGTGCAAGGTCCCTCCACGCAGAGCGCTGCGGCATCGCTTCTTGCGATGACACCCGCATCGAAGGGCAACCCGCAACTCACCCCTCACCCGGCGCCTCGTACACGCCCGCCTCGTCCGCCTCCTCAAAATCGCGCTTGAAATCCTCCACAGCCTTGACAACCTCCTCAATCTGCTTCTGTCCCAGCTTCTCACCCTGCGACAATGCGAGCGCCTGAGCAGTCCGCACGGCGTTCTTGATTTGCCGTCCGTTGAAAGACGTGTTCGAGGCAAGTTTCGAGAGGTACGAGGGGGAGATGGACGAGTCGAAGCGCGCATGTGGGACGCCGTTCGGTTCGGGAGAGCCTCGAGAGGGAGTCGCGGCGGGCGAGGGGAAAGCCGAGTCGTCCGTGTCGATGCCGACGCGCGCGAGCTCGAGAAACTGCCGCCAGATCACCTTGCGCTTCTCGCGGTCCAGGTTCGGGTACGTGATGGCGCTGTGCGGCGACGAGACGTATACATATCAGTACAACCCCGCAGAGAACGGAGAGCATCCGAACGAGAAGCAAACGCCACGCACAGCGAGAACCGACTCAAGAACGCCGGGTCGATGCTCCGGATCCGGTTCGTCGTGAGGAACAGCACGCCTCGGTGGTGTTCGAGCAGGCGGAGGAACACGCTGACCATCGCGTTGCGCGCGACGTCGTGCAGCGATCGCGCTTCGAGGAAGACGTCCGCCTGCGAGCGAGGGCGTTCTTACGAAGTCAACTTGCGCCTCAGGCAAGAGCGGAACGGACGCAAGACTGTGCTCGCACGCACCTCGTCAATGAGCAGCGCCGCGCCCCAATACTGCGCAATGTCGAGCACGTCGCGCAGCCGCTTCTCGAGGATGTCGGCCTGCACACCGAGGCTGCCGGCGCCGACGGTGTAGAGCGGGACGCGGAGGGTCTCGGCGACAGCTTCGGCGGTGAGGGTCTTGCCTGTGCCGGGAGCGCCGTGGAGGGTGATGACCTGCGCGGGGTGGAACAATTCGGTCAGCCAAGCGAGACGAATCTGCAGCACAATCCACGCGCAGGAAGCGACGCGAAAGCGCCGAACGATCGCGTTGATGACGCACCAGACCGCCTCCTTTCCCCTCGACAATGTCGCTCACAACTTCGACCTCCTTCTCCCCCTTCTCTGCTTCGCCATTCGCCGTCGCAACAACACCCTCCCTCTTCTGCCTCTTCCTCGCCTCCCTGACCGCCTCGTTACACTCCACCAACCCCTTGACCAACCTCTTGGTCTGCTCATCCAACACGAGCCGGTCCCACGCGTCGTCTCTGAACGCGATGGGCGAGAAGTTGGCGACGAGGAGCTCGCCCCATTCGCGGAGTGAGAGGGAGAAGCCGTAGATTGTGGGTGGGAGGAGGACGAGGTCCGAGGTGGAGACGGTTTGAGGGGAGGTGGGTTCGTCGTCGGAGGTTGGGGCGAGGGGGTGCGAGGGGTCGCCGTAGAGGAAGGGGTCGTCGTCGCTGCAGAGGGAGACGCGAGAGTCAATACGAAAAGTTCCGAGCAGTATGTTCTCGCTCGCCTCGTAGGAAAGCGAAACTGAATGGAAGGAACGGCGGCACGCACTCGTCGTCACTTTCCCACCACTGGTTCATCGCGCGAGTCGGGTTCATCCGCCTGTACGACTTGACATCGACGACCGCACGTCCGTCGGCCTGTGCGAGTAGAGGCGCCTCAAGAATCAGCTCCTTCGCCATCTGCGAGACGAGTGAGACCGAAACGAGTTCGTCCGAAACGCACCCTCATCTTGACCACCCTCTTATCCATTCCCACGCCCAGAACTTGCACCATCACCCCTTCGTACCGGAGGAACCGCATCCCGCCGCCCTCGGTCAGCTCGACGTACTTCTTGCCGCGCGAGACGAGGTCGGTGTAGAGAGAAGAGCTCGGAGAGAGAGGCTGGACCGGGAGAGAGGTGAGGCGGCGGAGGGACTTGAACTGCGAGAGTGAGCGGGTTAGTGGATGAAGCGGAACGAGAGGCGAGGAGGAAGCAAACGTACCTTCGGGATCTGCTCGTCAACCCAGACCTGCGATTTTCGTCGCCAGTGGAGGTGCACAACCGTCAGCACCTGGGTATGCAAGCGGACGCGGGTCAGCGATGGCGCACGCACCCGGCTGTACTTCTCGCCGTTCCAGATCATCCTCGTTCCGCTGACTGTAAAGACGTGTCCATCGCGAGTGAGCGAGTCTGTGCACCAGCCGCGAAGATCGAGCATCGTCAGTATCCGACAAACGACGCAGGCCGAACCGAGCGAGGCGCACAAGCTGTCGAGACGACCTTGAAAGCAAACTTCTCGCCACTCTCGGTGTGCTCGGCGACTGCGAGCGAGCGCGGCTTGAGGAGGGCCCACAGCAGCGGGAAGGTGATCTGCGCATGGAAGGTGGGCTGCGAGGTGGATGAGGAGGCGGAGGAGGTGGGCGGCTGGAGGAGGCGAGCAAGTTTGGTGGCGCTGCGGACGTGAGACTGTCAGCGAGACTTGGCGAAGTATGTCGGTCCCCGCACGCACGTCGGCTTGAAGAGCGAGTCGATGTAGTCGATCAGGACGCCAAGCTGGTCCGCCTCCGCCTCGAGCCGCTCTTTGCTCTTCTTCTTTGGCTCGCCACCGAGGTCGACGTCCCCGTCAGCCTTCGTCTCCACCGTTTCCTCGCCTTCGCTCCACTCCTCGGCCGCCTTCTTCGCCTTGTCCAGCTCCTTGCCGAGTTCGTCCCGCGCGAGGAAAAGGTCGCGCGCATCGAGGTCGGGCTTGTCTTCGAAGATCTCGTCGAGGTCTTGGAGGCAGTGGATGGCGCGGAGGGTCGAGGTGAGGATGTGCGAGGAGACCGAGATGGCGATGTAGTCCTGCGGGTGGGGCGTGAGTCTGACGAGATTCCTGCAACGGTCTTAGCCGACGCACCTCGTAGCCTGCGTACTCGGGGCTCTTCGGGTACGTGCGGTCCTTGGCGACGAAGAGGAACCGCTTCTTCTTCTTCTTGTCCTTCGAGGAGGCCGACTTCCTCTTCCCCTCGCCTCCCTCGTCCTCCGAGTCTGACCCACTGTCCGAGTCCGAGTCGCTCGGGTCGTCCTCGTCTTCCTCTCTCCACCGCGAAGTCGACGGGTCGAAGAACTCCTTGCGGACCTCGAACCGCTTCGCATCGGCGTCCGGGTCCCGCCCCTTCCCCTCCTTCTGCGTCGCCTGTGCGTCCTTCTCCGTTTCCGCGTCCTTCTCGTTGGACTGGGCGGTAGCAGGGACCGCTGTGGTGCGAGGTCGAGCGGTCGAGGGGGTGCGAGAGCTGTAGAGTGCCAAGGCCGCCGTCGCGAGCGCGATGGACGAGAGCGCCGCCGTAGCCGTGTTGCCAGAGACACTCGTAATCATTCTAGAAGTCGATCTAGCCCGTACGAGCTGTTGTGTGAGCTGGCGAGTGACTGGGAGATGAGAGAGAGAGCGGCGCCCCTCTTTCGCTCGACTGACTCGCTTCGACAGCTCGACGATGAGCGACGCCGACGCAGACATCTCGAGCGCACCCCAGCCAACCATCACCTTCAAGCGCAAGAAGCGCCCCGCCGCCGCGCGTGCGCACCATCGCCCGTCGTCCTCGACCGGGGTGAACGAGGCGGACAGCGGCGCAGACGGCGCGGACAGGGCAGAGACGCCACTCAGTGGGTTCGAAGGCGACGTCGAGGACTCGACCAGGTGCGTGTGGGTCTCTTTTGAGCGTTGTCGTCTCGCTGACCTCAGGTTGCTCTCCTGCGCTCGCAGCGAGACTTTGGAAGAACTGCTCGCCCTGCGCCGGCTTAAACGGTCGACGGCTGGACTCGAACTCGAGAAGCTCAACTCGGGCGAGAAACGCAAGCGGGCGCGGCCAGTCGCCGAGGGAGACGCTTCCGGGCAGGTCCTCGAGAATGGGATGGTCGAGGGGACGCACGGCGGCCTGCGAGGAGGGGCTGCAGGGGCGGACAGAATCAGGGACGACAGGTGAGTGCGGCTCAAATGTCGGGGAGTCTGCGGGTCCACTTGGCGCGGAGGGTTCCTTGCTTTCGTTACCCGGGGGATCTGCTCGTCTGTTTGGGGCCGACTTATGTCGACGCTGACACTCCCGTTTACACGTGCGCTCGCAGCGAACGACCCGAGGCCAAGGCACGCAAGATCATCAAGACGGACAACTTTACTGGCCAGACGAACACGGTCGACGTCGACAAGCACATGTGCGTTCGCGAAGCCTTTCCCTGCGTTCGGCCGTCTCGTTCCTCAGCGCGGTTGCTGATGTGTGCGGGGCACGTGTTGCGCAGGCTCGCCTACATCGAAGCCGAACTCGCGAAAAAGCGCGGCGAGGACTCCGCCTCCTCCGACCCCTCCTCAAACCCCTCACGCCCCTACGACCCGCGCGACGAACTCTACCGCGTCGCCGAAAAGTACAAGTTTGCCGATATCGCCGAGCAGGAGGGCAAGAAGAAGGAGCGGGATGAAGAAGAGGGAAACGTCACGCTCAGTACCGGCATGTTGATGGGCATCCCCGAGGTGGACCTGGGCATCGAGTGCGTCCGCGTGCCTTTTCGTCCCGTCTGTGCTGTGTATTGCAGGTCGAGGACGCGTGGGTGGCTGACCTTGCGTCGTCTTTTCCGTCTCCCCTCGTCCATCGTCTTTCCCTCGCGGCAATCTCCTCCCTCGTTACATCGACTTCACCTATCCCCCCTCGCCTCCATCCGATCCGTGCAATACGCTCTTTCTCGCCGCCTCTTCTCGTCTCTCTCGACACGACACCCTCGTCCGCCTTCCCCGGACTCTTCGCTCGCCCGCAGCACAAAGCTGAAGAACATCGAGGCGACCGAAAAAGCGAAGCGTGCGCTACGAGAAGGCTCACGACCAGGGTCAGGGCCCGAAGAAGCGGCCGGTCTTCCGCCAGACAAGGACGAGTTTGCGGTCGACCGATGTGCGTGCTCGCCTTGACTCCTTCCTCCCGCTCGTGCTGACGCCTCGTCCGCCCAGTCTATCGCCACCGCTGCCCTCTCGAGTCGGACCAGTCCGCCCTCGCCCGCGCGCGCTACCTCGCCGCCAACCCGCCCGAAACCGACCCCGACGCCGAGCTGCGCAAGCGGAAGCCGGGCAGGGAGACCGCGACGGACGAGATGGCGGTCGCGAGGTTCAAGAAGAGGCAGATGCAGCAGTGGGGCGGGAAGAAGTGAGCGTTGTAGCGGGGTGTACATGTGCGAGAGGTCGCAACGTCGTGTTGTTTCCATATCGAGCTTTCGGGCGCGCGGTCACCTCCTCGCGCAAAGCATGTTGGGTCTCTCCAAAGATTTGGGTTAGGGTTAGGGTTAGGGTTAGG